TGAGTATGTCAACGACTCTAAGGTTTGAATTGAACACTGGTAACAACATGAAAGAGGCTTTTCTCAAACAACAAGAGAGAATTCAGGTATATATTGACAAGTTGTATAAAAACGTTCAGTTGCAAATTCATTTCGAATTTCCTCAAAGACGGTTTAAGTGTCAGAGAGTTGAAAATTGTTTTTTCTTTCTTGCAGTCATATTTACAGACCTGCAGATAATTTTTTACCCCAAAGTGTATTTACTCCCTGAATTTCAAATTAATGCAGATTTTGATTTTCAGTTGAATGGTTTCTGAGTATTTTGTTAATATACAAGTGTTTTAGAAGAGGAATTAAAAACTACAAAGGACAGTGTTTGCATTTAAATGATTTTTTAAAATACAAACAAGACTGAAACATCCTTTTTCAACAAGAAAGCTCCTACAATAGGTAATTAAAGATATTGCAGACACTTAATCTTTTCCTCCATTTAAGATGATATCGTAACAAGAGTCAATGAGAGAAAAAATCTTTAGTTATATAATATGGCAGGTTGAGAAAAATCAGCAATTGGCAATGTACCCATAATAAAAAATAAACATCATGTACAAACCGTATGTAACTATGTAAGTGTCTTACTAAACAGAGAACCCTAGAGAATGTGAGACCTCTTGATCGGTAAATTAACAATTATGCAAAATCGATTATAATCTAAATCTTTGATTCTTTCTCATGAAATAGAAATCATGGTCTCCATTACTAGTATGAATATTCCTGGTTATAAAAACGCTTTTAAATCTGTATTTCGTTTAAATGAGAAAAATCAAATATTTCGTTTTGAGAAAAATCAAACACTTAGTTACCTCAATTCTATCAATAGCTAAGTCGTACTTGTATTATTCAACCCATTGTATGCAATACTTTTGTGGTGTAATGCTTATTTACGATTGCTAATGCGTAACTGTATGCTCAGCTTTAATTTTTAATGCGTATTTTGAAAATTTCAATGCATATTTCTGCAAATACACACCTTATCTGGAGCTCTGATTTAAAATTCATTTTTAGCCCAACTTCATGCTTTAGGCTTGAAACTTTTAATAGAATAATTTATATTTAACAATGTCAATGTTAATTTCTAATATGTCCAATCCAGGTGAAACTGTTAGGGACTAACAGTGAGTGCAGTTCATTTTTGTACAACTCTACACACCTTCAAAATTTTGTTTTACATTCTACTTATTACATTACTTAAGCATGCGTTTTCTGCTCAGATTAATCACAGTTCATCTTTTTTTAAAACTGTTATTGAAATATGTTCTCTAAACATGACTAAAGTTGTAGAATCTGCATGCATCAAGATTCCTACATGTAGCTTCTTGAATTTTCCAGACAAAGTCAGAAATACCGGAGTCATCGAAGTGAACAAAAATATTATGTCACACACAAGTCATGTTTACTTATGACACATATATGTTGTCTATGTTTTAATTGTGGGCAATTGTGGAATTGAAATTTCATTGAACTGTTTTTTATTTTTTTTTTTTAAGTTAATGTAAGTTGTTGCTATGCTAAAGAGACCTTGTTAAATTACTATGCACTGCAAAGGCTTATTGGGAGTTTGGATTTTTTTTTTAGATAAACTGATAAAAATTTCTTTTAAACATTAATGCATAGATTTCAATCAAAATTTCCTCCATTCATAAATGTTGTCTATATGGAGCATGCAAGGTGAGCAGTATTTTTGCATCACTTTGCTGCACTCGCTATTATTTTTCCAAAAAACTTTTTTGTGTTCTCTGCTTTTTTAATTCACTTTAGTATTATAGAACTTGATCATGACAAAGATTTACTAAATGATGTGTGGGTGATTCGTATTAGTGACTGAAAGGCATATTAATAAGCTAGCTTTTCTAATCAAAGTGGGTCCATTATTTGTCCAACATGTCAGAACCACTGGGCTATAACATCCTTAGTTCAAGGGTATTCAAATTTGTTCAAATGAAGAGCCATGGGCTCTGAAAGGATCAATGAGATTATCAAGAGAAGGCAGAAATGGGGGAATGTCTTTTAAAAATTCTTCTCCTTGGGCACAATGAACCTGAAAAGGTGAAACTCCAGTGAAAGCTTTCCTATGAAGTGGAACTTGCCCACAAAAAAAATGATCCAACGTTTACAAGGGAATATGTGGATGCTTCACAGAGAGATTTTAAAAAAGCTCAATATCCCTTAAATAACTATGATTTTAGATTTTGTTTTTGAATTACTATAGCAGTTTGTTAGTGTGTTGTGGTGGTTGTAAAGCATTCTAAGCATCTTAGGATAATTGTTACATTTTTATTACTTTCAGAAAGATGAAATGATGGCAGCGAGAGAAAATATTGTGAGACTGTAAGTACTCTTAATAACTTTTTATATGTGAGAATTTTATACATAATTACGTGAGTCTCCTTGTGAAAATTTTATTTTCACGTTTATTTGTTAAAGAATTATATTCAGCAAAAAACATACACTGCAAAAATTTTGTCATGCTAATAGATACCAGCTTAAGCAACGAAAATAAAGTGATCTACAGTAACACATTTTAAACACCATAAAGAACTTATGCCTGCACATTAACTTCAATAAATCCTTTTTTGGTATAGGTTTGGCAAATTGATTTAAATTATTTTGTTTGTAAATCTTTTTCAGAGAAAAAAATACAAATTTACGGGCAGAGTGGAATGAAAATTTGGAAAAAGTATCATGGAACAAAAGAATACAAGATGAAAATAAAAGAATCCAGGATGAAGTCAGACTTGCTGCCAAAGCAGCCATTGCAGTGAGTGATAATTATAAATCCTGAAATTTATAGACAATTCTACCACGATTATTTCCGAGATCAAAGAAATGCCGCGGACATGATTCTCCAATAAATCATGAACGTCATCAAAAAATTATCAGATCAGAAACACGTATCAAACCTGTGTATTTGAAATGAATATTTGACTCTTGAATGAAATACTTATTTAGACCAAATCGATGTGCCGTCTTTCAAATCCTAAACACTGTATATTACATAAACTAGTAGCTGATGAATGTAGGTTTTTATAACTAAGCGGGGCTGTTCAACAGATCTCCCTACACCATATTTAAACTCTGTGACTTTAGTGATAAAGCAATAAAATAGAAAACTAAATTTGTCATTGTACATTAAAAAAAAAATAAATCTATGACTAAAACAAATTTATAATAAATAGAAGGCTATTTTTAATGCAGTGAAAGCTCAAATCATCTGCTTTCCGTACGCATGTAAAGAAACAAATTTTCCCACTGATGTTAAATTGAAGTTATTGAACAGCATAAAAAATCAAGACAGGGTGACCTTATTCGTTTCTCTATAGAGGAAACAATTGGCCTTATTATAGAGCTCTTAGTAGAATAGAAATAAAGGCCTTGTTGTCGTGAATGATGCAGGATAACGCCTTGGCTTTTATCTTTCAAACATTTCTCGATCTCGGAAGTTATCCTGCAACATTTAAGAAAACACAAACTTTATTTCTTAAACATGAAAAATTATTGTAATAAAATACATCAGCTTCAACAAAAAAAACTGATAATGAATTCATGCTAACAGCTAAGTGATTTTCACTCCTTGTAGTTGTAAAATGTATGTATTATGAAATTATTGCATAGACCTGTAAATGTAATGAATCATGTTTTATAACAAATCAATATCGTTTTTCCTTGGAATTTAGTTTAAAATGTATTTTATTCACTGAATTGGATTGAACAGCAGATATAAATGCCTATGATCGCTCTCTCCATAGATCGTTCTCTCCATTTCCTTGAAATTGCTATTCTAAGTATGTTTTACTTTATACTTATTATTACCCTCCCCCCCCCCCCCTTGAAAAGTGGAGGTGTATTGTCATGGGGGTGTCCTAATTATAATGTACTTTTGTCTGTTTAGCTTTGGGGTACCCATCTTTTCTCTGCAACTCCTGTTTATACTGTTGAATAAAATTTAATGAGACTTCACAGAATCTTTCTTACATACATGTACATGTAGTGCCATTGTGACTACTTGATCTATTCTTCTAAATACACATTCATCTTATTAAGTCCAAATTACATACTGGTTATATGGAAAACTAATCACGTTTAACAACAATGTAAAATTTTGTAGGTGCGACGGAAAGCCCTGCAGCAGCTGATTCAGAGAGAGATGGACATGTATGAACAGGAACTCAGTCTGCAGGGCAAAACTTTCTTCAAACAAAGGATATGAACCTCTCTGCTTTTTCTGGATGTTGGAAGTGAGATTTTGTGTATAAATGTAAAAAAATGTGAACCTTTGAGTGAATGATAATTAAAAATTGTATGGAACTTATTGAAATTATCCAGCATTAGACATCTTTCTCAATTTACTCTGTTTTAGATATTTTTACTTTAAATTGTACTTGTGTTCACACAGACTTTGTGATACTGCTGCTGGTAAAAGTGCTCTACCTGAGTTATATATATATATACATACATTATAATATGTGCCTTATAAATAAACTTTGATATGTTATTAGTTTGATAAAATCAACCTGTGGCATAAAATTCAAAGCAAAAATGTTCTGCATATATAATAACAACTAACAACTGAAATAATTTTACAGATGTTTAAACTGACTGTATTAAGTATAATGAAAGTCTGTTATCAGTTTAATCTTTACTGTGTAATCTATGTTCTATTAAATATCATCTTTTGTTACAAGTATCTAGCAATCATATGATACAAATAGTGAAAAATTAAAATGAAAGTTTTAAAATGTCGAGTTAATGGATAACTGGTATTAAAGAATTATTCATTGTATAAAATATATTGTTTGTGAATTAAAGTAACTTTGGAAAGAATTATTTCTGCTCATTTAATAAACATATACCTCAGTGGGAAAAATCAATTTTGTAAAGGCATGATTTGTTTTTTGACCAATCTGGTCAGAAGAGAAAGTTTCGATACCTAAGCAGACACAAGATGTGGTGTATATTCAGCTTATAGGTCACTGTTATTGTCAAAACAGCAGACCTGCCAAGGAATAAACAAGACAAGAGGCCCATGGGCCACATCGCTCACCTGAGCACCAAGGGTAGGACTAGTATAAAATGGCTTTTTATTGTAAAGTTTAAATCCAAAAGTAGTCCCATGACCAATCATGGATTTGCTATTTTTTAGAAAATGATTGAGAAGAAAATTTTTAAAGAATTTTCCTATATATTTCTATGTAAAACATTGGTCGGCCATTTTGGCCCCGCCCTACCCCCCGGGGTCATGATTTGAACAAACTTGAATCTACACTACCTGAGCATGCTTCCATATAAATATGATGAATTATGGCTTTGTCATTCTTGAGAAGAAGATTTTTAAAGAATTTTCCTATATATTTCTATGTAAAAATTTGGTCGGCCATTTTGGCCCCGCCCTACCCCCGGGGGTCATGATTTGAACAGAATTGAATTTACACTACCTGAACATGCTTCCATATAAATATGATGAATAATGGCTTTGTCATTCTTGAGAAGAAGATTTTTAAAGAATTTTCCTATATATCTCTATGTAAAACTTTGGTCGGCCATTTTGGCCCCGCCCTACCCCCGGGGGTCATGATTTGAACAAACTTGAATCTACACTACCTGAGCATGCTTCCATATATATATGATGAATTATGGCTTTGTCATTCTTGAGAAGAAGATTTTTAAAGAATTTTCCTACATATTTCTATGTAAAACATTGGTCGGCCATTTTGGCCCCGCCCTACCCCCCGGGGTCATGATTTGAACAAACTTGAATCTACACTACCTGAGCATGCTTCCATATAAATATGATGAATTATGGCTTTGTCATTCTTGAGAAGAAGATTTTTAAAGAATTTTCCTATATATTTCTATGTAAAACTTTGGTCGGCCATTTTGGCCCCGCCCTACCCCCAGGGGTCATGATTTGAACAAACTTGAATCTACACTACCTGAGCATGCTCCCATATAAATATGATGAATTATGGCTTTGACATTCTTGAGAAGAAGATTTTTAAAGAATTTTCCTATATATTTCTATGTAAAACTTTGGTCGGCCATTTTGGCCCCGCCCTACCCCCGGGGGTCATGATTTGAACAAACTTGAATCTACACTACCTGAACATGCTTCCATATAAATATGATGAATAATGGCTTTGTCATTCTTGAGAAGAAGATTTTTAAAGAATTTTCCTATATATCTCTATGTAAAACCTTGGTCGGCCATTTTGGCCCCGCCCTACCCCCGGGGGTCATGATTTGAACAAACTTGAATCTACACTACCTGAGCATGCTTCCATATATATATGATGAATTATGACTTTGACATTCTTGAGAAGAAGAATTTTCCTATATATTTCTATGTAAAACATTGGTCGGCCATTTTAGCCCCGCCCTACCCCCCGGGGTCATGATTTGAATAAATTTGAATCTACACTACCTGAGCATGCTTCCATATAAATATGATGAATTATGGCTTTGTCATTCTTGAGAAGAAGATTTTTAAAGAATTTTCCTATATATTTCTATGTAAAACTTTGGTCGGCCATTTTGGCCCCGCCCTACCCCCAGGGGTCATGATTTGAACAAACTTGAATCTACACTACCTGAGCATGCTCCCATATAAATATGATGAATTATGGCTTCGTCATTCTTGAGAAGAAGATTTTTAAAGAATTTTCCTATATATTTCTATGTAAAACTTTGGTCGGCCATTTTGGCCCCGCCCTTACCCGGGGGGGCATGATTTGAAAAAACTTGAATCTACACTACCTGAGCATGCTCCCATATAAATATGATGAATTATGGCTTTGTCATTCTTGAGAAGAAGATTTTTAAAGAATTTTCCTATATATTTCTATGTAAAACTTTGGTCGGCCATTTTGGCCCCGCCCTACCCCCGGGGGTCATGATTTGAACAAAATTGAATCTACACTACCTGAGGATGTTACCCCATAAGTTTCATCTTTCCTGGCACAGTGGTTCTTGAGAAGAAGATTTTTAAAATATACCACTAAATTTTCATTAATTCCCAATTATCTCCCCTTGAATAAGGGCATGGCCCTTCATTTGAACAAACATGAATCCCCTTCACCCAAGGATACTTTGTGGCAAGTTTGGTTGAAATTAGTCCAGCGGTTCTTGAGAAGAAGTCGAAAATGTGAAAAGTTTACAGACAGACAGACAGACAGACGGACAGACGGACGCCGGACAAAATGTGATCAGAAAAGCTCACTTGAGCCTTCGGCTCAGGTGAGCTAAAAATTGGTCACTGTGCATTATACCTCAAAGAAATTTAGTGCTTCCAATATTTAGTTCACCACATACAAAGATGTTATTTCATCAGTCAGCCATCAAATATCCGATGAAATAAACTTCTGTTTTAAATAAATTATCTTGATCTTGACTGCAAGGCTTAATGCTAACGAATCTTGCCTTGATTGTGTGACTAGGTTTACTAATTGTGATGTTTACTAATGTTTTTTCGAGTTGTGACGGTATCATTGTCACAACAAGTCAATCTTCTGATCAAAATCAATATAAATTGTGAGAAAAATTTACTGGTCAATAGTAAGAAATAGAGGACTGTCAATATCTTTTAGAGGAGCTTATATCAATTATGTTGACTATTTTTCTGTAAAGAGAATATAGGGACTAATTTTTACTGACTATAACATGTAGAATTATATGTATCAAAGTATACCATTGTCTTCCTGTGTGCCAAATTATATTGGCATCAGACCAATGCTGTAGGAGGAGTAGTGTTTTGAAAGTGCACAGAAATTTCTATTTTTTTAACCATGGCAACACCATTCATCAATATTAAAAACCAATATGCAGAATTATTTATTAGCTCTTCTGAGCCAAAGGCTCAAAGAGCTAATGCTATGGCCATTTGTGCGGTGTGCATTAACTTTTTAGAATATGGGCCATAACTCAAGAACCCCTTGGCCAATCAGTGTCAAATTTGTCACAGGGTATCCTTGGCCCAAGGGCTACCCTTTACACTAAAATAAGGATTGGGACCCTTAAACAAGGGGAGATAATCAGGAAAACAAAACCAAAAGTACTGGTTGCTAAAAAATCTTCTTCTCCAGAACCACCAGGCAATTTTCACCAAACTTACATACAAGGATCAGGATATGTTGAAGATTAAAAATTGTTCAAGGCATGACCCTCGGGCAAAGGGCGTGGTCTCAAGGTCACTTCAAACTTGACCTAAATTTACAAATAATGAAAACGTTTATATTTTGCTTACTATTAGGACTAGGATCATCAAATCTTCTAAGTTGATGCATCTCAGGACTTCACATCATGTTAACTCAAAAGAAGGTCATGGTGACCTACTTTTTAAATTTTGTGGGCATTTGTTTTCAAATTTGAAGACAAAAAAGTAGGTCACGGTGACCAATTTTTAAATATCTCAAATACTTATTGGCTTAGAATCTTCAATCTTTGTTTATTAATGCATCTTGAGTCCTCAGAAAACTTCAATCTTAATATAGGTCACTGTGATGTACTTATGGTTTTTTATAGCTTTATTATTAAAAATATTTTCAGTCATTATTGGCTAAGAATCATCAAACTTTGTCAGTTGATGCAACTTGGGTCTTAGGATACTTAAGGTTAGAGGCTTCAAATAGAAGTGATAGATTGTACAATTTATCAGAAGAGCGATTCAAGGCCCTTGGGCCTCTTGTCTATTTGTAGTCTACTTGTGTGCAAAGTTATTTAAGAAATAAGGTATAATTTTTTGAGTTTTATTGGGATGTAAAACAGGTTGGTCATGTGATCAAAACCCATAAAGCCTTATGGAAGATTTGATCATGTGCCAACCTGTTTTACATCCCAATAAAACTAAAAAATTATACATTATTAGTAATAATTTATTACTTATATTTACATTTGTGACTGATTTATTACAAACAATAAGGTACTAAAGTAAAGTTTTAAATCCATAAAGGTTTTTTTGCAAAACTCAATGGTATAAATTGAATGTGTTGAAAACACCAATCATTTATGACGTCACTATGAAATTACTTAGATCGCTTATGACTAAACAATCAATTTATGGTCATATGACGAACGTGTTTGACAGAGATGTAAAAACGCCTTGTTCAAATAGTGTTATATAAGGGAAAACATTTGCAAATGTAAATATATTGAAATCAGACCAAAACTGTAGGAGGAGCGTTTTGAAAAATTGTTTACAGACAGACGGACAGCTAGCTGGACATTTTACCATATAAGCTCTGACCTGTAGAGCGAAAAGAAAGAAGAAAAAGTGAATTAAAATAGCATTTATTTAATGAATAAAATAAACATTAATACAGCTCACATACATCTGATTCAATTAATATAAAAACTGGCCCAAACACATTAAGCATTTCAAAGGTAAATGATTTAATAAATTTTACATTGTTTGTATAGTTATTGTGAACAAAAAACACCGAAATGATTTAATAAAGTTTACACTGTTTGTTTATAGTTATTGAGCACCTGGCATGACATATTTTTCTTTTTAAAAAATTATAACCCCATACTTTATAATAAATTAGTATTAGGTATGGAGTTAATTTTTTTTTTATACATATATAAGAAAAATAAGTAATGTCAGGTGCCTGTAACACAAAAATAGTTAATGATCATAATACGGTATGATAAAAGTTATTAGAATTAAATGTAATTTAAAAATTTCAATGTACACTCAGAAATTATGCTTCAAAAAATAAAGATGTCCTAAAATACCTTACATGTAAATGCCTTATGAATTCTTTGTCATCCAACAGGATTTAAGATCTATTTGAAGAATACTGTTTTTGAGATTATTTTTAGTATGTACCCAGTAAATGCTTTATATACCTATGATAAAACAATACAGTTTGAAGTTCATCTCACCATTACTACATGACAAGAACTACAATTAATGATTCTGTAATCAGATTAAAGCACCTCTAACTGGAGACTGATCTGTAAAAGCTAGCCAAGGCTAACTAACACTGCTCAGCATCTTGCGTATTTAACTTAATCTTAAAAGACACGTGAACAGGGATAAAATTTCATTGCCTTCAAAATTGCACATAAAGGATACATAATGATGATACACTTCATTATCAAATAAAAATAAATAAAAAGTTGTGACATTAAATAAATATTTTATTTATGTGACAAGTATTGGCAAAAAGTGAAGTTCATTTAGCTGTAATAAGGTTTGTATGCAAGATTGCACCAGTATCATCACTCATGGACATAGGATATCTACAATTGCAATTTCATAAGCACCAAGTATGCAAAAATCAGATGCCTTGACTGCTAATTAGGAATCAAACATCAATCCTTGGTCTATTGATAAAGAATGCAGAGTGATGCAAGTTCTTTTTCACAAAGATGCATAGGTAGAACAATTCTAGTTAATATAAACTGTAATCCACGTACAAGTATAAAAGTGCCAAGAAACCATATAGATTAGACTCCTTCACTACTTAATAACAGATCAATGGAGCACTGAAAATTCCCCAATAAAAGTAAGGAATTTCACACAATTTTAAAGGGAGTTCCACTACTCCCATGATTCTTATGTAGATGAAATTAATGTAAAATCTCTTAATCATGCAACAATCTACTTGCTAATTACAGGGGCAATATTCTCTTGACATGACATGTACATCTCTTTTCATGATATACAACTTCTAGTGTAAAATAAGGTGACTGTTTAAACACCTACATGAATCCCTCTCTATGACACAACAATTCAGATAACTGGAGTTAAACTGCTGCTGCCATAAATTCAATGTCACAAAAATACAGAAGCACATTTACAGTAAACCTTAGACAAAAATTAACTCAGAATCAAATTAATAGAAAATCATAATCAAAACTGGTCAGGAATAATCAAAATTATTGTGTGCAATCTCCTACAGAAAAAGGTATCCACAGCTAGATGTCTAGGCTACTTAAGCCTTTTATGTGATTTACCCAATTTAGCATTGCCCATTCCCCAAAGAGCAAACTTATGGCTTTATCATTTGCATGTACATACTTATATTCAAATAAGCTTACTGTATTGTTTACATATTAAGACACAAAACTATAATCTATCTAATTCTGTCTGACATATTAATCTAAAACATAAACTGAATTCTAGTTAGTTTCTGTTAACTTTGTAAAATGCTTAGTCCTATATTACATCAGTACAACACCAAAGTGAGACTTCACACTCAAATAATACAGGAGTCAATAATATATATATGCATGGTTTTCAACTCTAATATTACTAGTAAACACAGTACTTATATCACACATGGATGAATAAAATCTTCAGTGCTTTAATTATACACTAAAAACAAAAAGAAAATCAAACTAAACAGCTACTACAACAGTTGTAACTAGATTTTGATTGAAGTTTGATCTACCGTACTACTCCTATCACAGATGAGTCATCTCCCTTTGTAGTCCAGGCCTCTGAAGTTTTGTCAGTTTTTTTTTTTCATTTATGGTCCGTTACAAATCTACCTCTCTGACTAGAGTAGTCTTGGATATAAGAAGCTCTGTAATTTAGTATTTTATTCGGTATGACTGAGGTAAGATTTGACACATCTGAATGCTGAGTACAGTCCCTCAGTACATACACTGTAGACATCTCAATGATCCAAGCATTGGATTTAAAAAGTTCATCTCTTTACAGAAAACTCAATACACATAGGATCATACAATGATTCAGCTCTCATCTCACAATGATTTAGGTAATGACGAGGGCAAACCTCTGCTTTCACATGGCAAACGTTGTAATGTTCCAGCAGAGACAGAACACAGATATGGAAATAAATAAATTAAGTGGATGTGTTATGAAGTTTTGCAATCATTTATGCGATCATTCCATGTCGAGTCAGTTACATGGTCAACATCAGGATGGAAATTTGCAGGGAAGTAAAACTTGTGTGTGGGAATCCCTAAAAATTCACTAGGCTTATCTATATCTTACAGATGTATTCAGATTTCATACAAAGAAATCTTCAGATTTCCATACCATTGTTATCAAGGTATTAAGATGAAGTTTGTTTCTTCTTTCATCTGCAATCAAAATAAACATTTAATTATCTAGAACTTTGGTAGCAATAAACTTCTCTGTTTCTCTGTAATTGTATGGAGAGAAGCCCAGCTAAATGGACAGGGTGATTTCATTATAAATCATTTATGATGATACTTACCTGTGTCAGCACCCAGAACAGCGATATCTCTTGATCCGGTCAAATTCCTCACACCATTCTGTAAACCTAGCCTTCCACGCCATCTCCATGTCATTGGTATCTAAAAATTGATTAGTGTCAAAGTGCATCAATTAATGTTGGAGGACAATGAATAAAATCATATCTATTACACAAAAAGAACAAAAAAAAAAGAACCTTTTAAAACAGATTTGGTTCCTTTACTTGATACTTTTTTTTATTCAATTATTAAAGGGGGATTTTTTTTACTCTCAAATACAAGTTTTTAGGGAGATACAAAGAACTGTGAATGATATGGCATTGTTCTGCCTACTACCTCTAAGTCAAATGTTTAAATATTAACATATTTGAATGATCCTTCATATCTTTGTAGGTATTATGTGAATTTTCATGATACAATTTATTTTGGAAAACAAAGAGATATAACTCTATAATTTTGCATGTTTTCACTTAGAAATCAGCAGAAAACATAAAATATTTTTAAAGACCCCCCCCCCACACCTCCTCATGAATCAAAATCCTTTGGGATTGTGTAATTAAAAGTTAAGCAAAAAAATATATATAATTCATTTCTAATTAATTAAATAAAAGGTCTCGGTGACCTTTAAGTTAGACACATCTACCTAAGATGTATTGATTAACGAAGTATGATAATTTTAGGTCTTGTATTTTCCAGTAATGAACTAAACAGGACTTTCCATATTTAGCCACAGCAGTATCAGCTTGTGTGCTTCATGAAATAATTAACCATTATTTTGTGAAAAAATGAAATTTTCTCTTTTTGGCTAAAATTATGAGGAGTAAACAAATATTTTTTTTTTATGCAATCTTTCTCATGACCTTGAGTTTTGATGAAAAGGTAACAACCAAGGTTAAGACATACAGTGTATGGCTTACTTAGGGAAATTCAAGCTGCTTGTCCCTTGTAATGTTTTTGAATAAAATACAGCCTTAAAAATGCAAGTGTGTTTGACTCACTTTCCATTAACTCCACTTTTACTGTGTTTAACTTCTTGTCATCTATGTAAGCTTCATAAATTCCTTCTTCAGCTTTCTGGGCCCGAGACAAGATCAGATCTTGGTTACTGTTCATCATATTATTGTTATCCAGAACCACCAAGGAACCGTCCTTTTTCCATGTAACCTTCTTGCCGTCCAAGGTGAAGGGGTAATAATGTGGCAGCGTTACCGACTGCCCCACCCCCACTGTAAAGAAAGCAGGACATTACACGAATTAAGACAAAGACTTAGGAAAATACTCAACGTTTTGTAAATGGATATGGAATTTATTTCACTTGTGAGACAGGACTTTTTTCATATGCTTTGCACTAGTGAAAAATAAAATTGTGAAATAAATTTCATATCCAACTACAAAACATTGAATATCATCTATGTAGCATCTATTCTATTTTGCAAATCAATAATTTACTATTTTTCCTTTAATTTAGTTACCCTTAGTGTTGTAAAACTTATTTATGGCATATTGTTTTATATGTACTAAATGTTAATCTTATGATAAAAATTCTGATCCCTTCCTTTGTTTTTTTTTTTTTATAGGAACAAAATCTTTTGTACAAATATTCACCTTTTCTGTCCGTCACATTGCTTGCTGCATTATTGTACCTCTCTTTAAGTTCTGCAATGCTTTCATGAGAGAGTTCACTAAAATAACAGAAACAGTAATTTGGATAAACATTTAGGCAAAGACAAGACATCAAATTTAAAGAAGAGAATATGTATGAAAATATTTTCATTGCAGTAAAAGATATCCTCCTCCTTCCTCACTTTACCATTAGCCATTATTACCTGACCTTAAAATTAGGTCTATTCAAAAATATTACAATTACCAGAACATGACAATTAAATATAATCTTAACATATCAGCATCCAGAGACTTGATTTCTGAATTACCTTGAGTTCAGATCAAGACATGTCTTAAGTTTGAATCTGTTTCAAAAAAGATTGCTAAGTCTGAACACAATATCACACCTCTACTTGTGTGTCTGACCACCTTTAAGATATTGATTATTGACATCAGTAATTTCAAATAAAAGTTCAAACAAGTCACATGTTCACCTGTGACTTGGACAAAATATGCATACATGTTAACTCTCCCGATTTAGGCGGGAGTCTACCGCTTTTTCACTCCATCTCCCGCCTACCGATTTAATTCAGAAATCTACCGCTTTTCTACAAAAGCTGCGTCTAAAGTATTTTTGGTTCGCTTTAGTCTCGTTCAACCAGACCCTCGGCTGTCTCCGTAAATCTCCGACCACTCTGGGTGGTCGGAGATTTACGGAGACAGCCGAGGGTCTGGTTGAACGAGACTAGGTTCGCTTGGGTATCCATTTTTGAAGCCACTCTCGTAAAATCTCGCTAGATATCGCGTGATTTGATTCGGAATCATACAAACGCTTTTTTTGTACATAGATTTCAAGCACGGATTTGACAACGACAACAAAACAAGGAACGAGTCTCAGGGACGGGTGAGATTCACTCCGGAAGTTAAAGTGCGCATGCGCAGACTTCTATACCTCAGATCAAACCCGATCTAATTTAACTTAGTCAACAATGGCGGTATCTTCAAAGACCTCGATTTGCGCTGTTCTCAACCTGGTTGTAAGTGAATAATTCTTATAAAAATCTCATAATCGGTAACAATATATCTTATTTCCCATAATTCATACATGTATTTTGCGTGATACCATTCATAAAAAAGCATGTTAACCTTGGCAGTTAGCTATTCAATGACAAACTATGAGGTAAATTACATTTCATTGAAAGTATGTCAACTTGATTGAAACACTTAATTTTATTGAATAAAAAAGTAAACTGTGTACTAATATGTATGTTTCACTGAATAATAAACTAAATTAAGCCTTATAAATATTTTTTAAACCCCCCCCCCCTCACCATAGGGGAATTTTAGGCCTATATGAAAATTCTTTCGCACAGGCCTAGTATAACATGTATGACCCCCCCACCCACCCACCCACACACACACACACACACACACACACACTGCAACCCTGCCTTATCACAAGCCTGTATTATGTATAACTGTTAACGGTAGAATGAAGATCCAGGGAGGCTGGGTACAAACATGATGATTGAGGAAAAGATATTTAGGAAAGACTTCTTGGCAAAGTATTGAGGAAAAGATTTCTTCGTGAAAAATATGGCATAGTACATTCTACATTTAAAATGCAAAGTCCTTATTCAATTACATTATAATACAAACACAAATATTTATTGGCATAACACAATTACAATGGCAAAGGCACAACATATTATGAATATCATTTATTGTTCATGTATTTAAACAATATTCTGGTGTGTGACATTATGTGACATTATACTTAATCATAATAAAATCATACCATTATTTGCAAAATAATTAGGTTGTGCAATCAGTTGTAAATGTAATACATGTGTTATAAAAATATCATTTTTCCCCCTTTCAGGGTGTGTATGCTATATTTCATGGGCAAATTGTTTCTGTCTGGTAAAGATTTTTCAAATTTTGTCGGTGAATTGTATTTAAAATTTATAATTATAAATATACCTTTTTCTTCAGGTCCTTGTATTGAGCTTGAGTTTTGCATACAGTACAAACATTTATAATGCAGGAGATGATCATGACTACTTTTCCTTTGATGTAAGTTGCTATTATCAAAATTACCTGACAAGATCAAAGTTTATCATTGTCACAGGTTATGTGAAAAATAAAGTATTTCCATGGGATTCAATTTGAAATCACATGAAAAGACTCGAACCCAGGGCCTTTACCGTTTTCTGAAAAACTGTAGGCAATCTTGACCTGATATGGAAAAAACTTTATAAATATGAGACCCGATATATAATATTATAGACTTTTCTTTTCTTAAATTTGAAAAATCTGTAGGCACCTTCCATTTACTAGATCTTGACCTTAATATCAAAATTACCTGACAAGATCAAAGTTTATCATCTTTGACATTTATGAATACATTGTAAAATCCTATAACCCTATTTTAACAAACATCTCAAACTTCATGAAATTATAGTTGTAAATTAATTTTATTACTGGTATGCATGTAATGGAAAGAAACTTAAATTAGCTAATGTGTAATGTAAAGATGACATCTGATCATCATTGAAACAAAAAATCAATAAAATTGAACATAATTCAGCATTATCAACTTGTGACAAGGGTGCAGATGTTTGTTTATTTAGAAACGAATTAAAAAAAATATTTTAAAGAAGATTGAAGATGAAAACTTAAGTACTTTTACAAATAATTTCATTTTCACATAATTTTGACAATCTATTTAGAGTATTAACCAGTATTTTATAATTCTTTTTCAACAAGGTACTGAAGGGATTGAATACTCCTCAGCTAAATACTGTGCAGGTAATCAACATAATTTTGATTTACTGAACATGCTGAAATAACCTTTTCTACTTCATTAAATTTAACTTTTTGCTAATGAAAATTAAAATATTTAAGCCTTTTAAGGTTCATAAACCCTCTGTTCACTCATATAAAATGTTGCTTGAACCTTAATGATTTTCCAAAAGAAATGTATTTTATAAGCAAAATACTGACAATTATAGCATAGTTTGCAGGGCAAAAATTTGACAAAAAAAAAACCCTTCAACTTGACAAATCTATAAAGGAATAATAGACATTAATGTCATTAAGAGTTCTCTCTCTTTTCAAAGTATCAATGACCCTTAAGGTTAGCATGCATCATAGAATATAATGTAATGTAACATCCAATAGCGAAAAAGATAAAAAAAAAAATGCATTTTACTTTTAAAATGCATGTGCATAGTAAGAGTATGACTATGATATATGTGTAAAGGTTTGGGTGGTGGATATCGGCCTGGATAGCTCACTTGGTAGAGCACTTGACTGGAGGTGCAGGGGGCCCAGGTTTGATTCTCGGTCCAGCCATACATTTTCTCCTTTCCTATTACACGTGGTTATAATATTACTTAAATTTTATACGGATCCTGTGTTATCTTATAATTATGGAACAACAGAATTATTTCCGCCTATAAATTTATCATAAAAATCTGCATACATTTCAGGATATTAATGGTCCCCTCCCAGCTGATGGAAATTTTCCTATGATGGAAACTCCGAATAATACAGATCTGGATATTGATATGGAGGTATGAAAATAAAAAAAAACAATAATAAAAGACAAATGGTCTTTAAGGACCCTCTCTACACCAGTGCAAAATGTTTTTTAGACATTGAGAAAAATATAATGTATAAAGGTGTTAATATTGAGCATATCAACATAATTTTCACTGTATGGTGCATTACATTTACCCCCGGGAAAAATTTCCAAATAGAAATCACTTGTTTACTTCCAAAGAGAAAATACCTGTAAATAACATGTTCAATTAATTAATCTAGGTCTTTTAAAATGTAAAAAATATTTGCATTGATTAAGAATTAAGTTATATACTGTAAATTGTTTTTTAAAGAATTGAGATCTAAGGGGAGATCACTCTAATTGCAGAAAAATCGCATAGAATAAGAACTCTTTAGTGTGCAGTGTAGAGAGGGTTTTCAATGCAATGAATAACAAACAGTTATCTGAGTAGTTTCATTTTTAGTTCACCTGAGCCGAATGCTCAAGTGAGCTTTTCTGATCAAAGTTTGTCCGTCGTCTGTCGTTGTCGTAAACTTTTCACATTTTCATCTTCTTCTCAAGATTCACTGGGCCAATTTCAACCAAACTTGCCACAAAGTACCCTTGGGTAAAGGGGATTCAAGTTTGTTCAAACAAGGGGAGATAATGATGAATTAATGAAAAGTTAATGGCATCTTTTAAAAATCTTCTTCTCCAGAACCATTGGGCCAGAAAAGATGAAACCCATGTGGAAGCATCCTCAGATAGTGTAGATTTAAGTTTGTTCAAATCATGAGGGGTAGGGCGGGGCCACATTAGCCAATCAAAGTTTTACATAGGAAAATCATTTTTAAATCATCTCACGATCAGCAAAACTATGATTGGTGATATTAATATGGAAACATCCTCAGTTAGAGTTAATTCAAGTTTGTTCATATCATGACCCCTAGGGGTAAGGTGTGGCCATAATGGGCAATTTAATCTTTACAAAGAAATATATAGGAAAAAACTTTGAAACTCTTCTTCTTAAGTATGGCAAAATTATACATATATGTTTTGTTGATATAGTGACAATTTCAAGTTAAAAAAATCCCTTCTACCCAATCTAGTAAACTTTTCAATACTTGGGCCTCATGTTTATGTAATCTTAGCAAATAATTATAGGTTTTTTTTAAATTTTTCTTTTGTTATGTTTTTAGTCTTTAAGTGCGGCTGCAGTACATCTTTCTCATCTAATAAAGAATTTCTTTGTCATCCATACACAACTCCCACTTTTTTTTGGGGGGGGGGGCTTTTTGCTCCAAGTAAATCAGGTTACAAATCTCTCATATCCAGGTTATGTAGTGTTTTAAATAAAAAATAAAAAGACATAGTCATTATTTATTAATTCAGTTCTAATAAATTCAGTTAATCAACATAATAATATATTTCTTTGTGTTCATTTCAGATTGACAATATGGTATTGGAAGAAATAGTCCCAGAGGATATGACTGATGTAAGGTTTCCTTTCTCCTTTTCTTGTAGTGTTAAGTCATAAGAAAACATTATGAATGAGACAAATAATGAGGTGTGAGTTGGGTTGGCCAAAGACAGCTCTTTTATGTCCAATGGTTAAACCCCTACTCAGAACTGATTATTTGTCTTGTCTCCCAACTAAATAGCCCATGGTACATGTAGTTTTATTATCCTGAAAAATCTTAACTCTGGAAAACTTTGATGTCTATACAAGACAATTAAATCCTCCTTATAATTTATAATTTGAAGGAAAATGATACATATTAATTAATCTCCACATAGAAAATATTATGTGAATGTAAAGTGTTGTACTTTGTCGGTTTGCTAATCTATAAATTAATTATGTTCCCTTAGAAGAAGGGAGGACATATTACTTTGCTGCTGTCTGTCGGTCAGTCTGTCAGTCCACCAAAAGTTTTCGGCTGTTCATTTTATTCGCAGAGGATGTACATACTGAAATAAAATTTTATAAACAAATTTATCAAAAGAATATCTAGGTCTGGTCATGTTCTGTTTATAGTCTGATCAAGTAATTTTTGACAGACTTATGCCCTTTGGACTTATAAACAGAAGGGGGAGGCATAATTAAGTGTTTCACTAACATCTGTTGTTAGCTCACTTGAGCTGAAAGCTCAAGTGAGCTTTTCTGATCACCCATTGTCGGTCGTCCGTCTGTCTAGCTGTCTGTTCATACATCTGTCTGTAAACTTCTCAAGTTTTCAACTTCTTCTCAAGAACCACTGAGCCAATTTTCACCAAACATGGTACAAGGCATCCTTGGGTAAAGGGGAGTGTAAAGTAAAAATGAAGGGGCAAGGCCTCTTACAAGGGGAGATAATCAAGAGAAGACAAAAATAGGGCGTGGTCATTGAAAAATATTTTCAAGAGCCACTGAGCCAGAAAAAACTGAAACTTGTGTGGAAGCAACCTGGAGTAGTGTAGATTTAACAATAACATCATCTAAATTATGACTCTTGGGTGTAGGGAGGGTGTCAATGGGTATTGCAAAGGGGAAATCTGGTAAAGAATAGCATGTTAAACGTTACTCAGATGAGTGATGTGGCTCATGGGCCTATTGTTTTTATTTTTTGAACATTTCTCATTCTTAATTGTTTTTATACCCTAGCTCTGAAGGAGAGGGGTATACTGTTATGCCTTAGTGTGTCTGTTTGTGTGTCATAAAGTGGGATTCAATTAAGGAATGCTTTTATGTTTTGTGTGAGTTATTGGTGTGTGAATCACACATACTTGTCACGTAGGCATATGTAATGAAGATTGTTGCATTTTTACCAACATTGTTGTAGCCTTATTGTGACGTCACGTTAATGCACATTTCTCCTTGTATATTTCTACGCGTGAGTATACACGAAAATGGTTTTCACAATTGGCTTACTAGACAAAAACAGCAAATGTAAATATTTTTGTATGAATTCAATCTGATGTCAACTTCCTGTTTCTTGATATGGCTGTCCATTCTGTTGCAGCTTTCTCAGCAACTATTCATTGCAGTTGAATGAAATTTTAGTATATTTTTGTTTAGGCTTGTCATATGGTGGGATTCACAGAAATTTTATGTCAGCTTCTTTTTAATCCATGCGTCTGTCAGCATCAATATTTTCACATCAGAGTGGAGGCTGGTATTACATGTACTTTAGTGAGCATTGGCTCACAGACTTCTTGTTATGAATGCAAAATTACAACAGCTTTTGATGTATCATTTATGATGAAAACTTATAATCTTAGGGCTTCAATTTTAATGACATAATTAATGCACACTACATGATGGATACGGAGGTTCAGCACCAGGATAGGTATCTTTCCAGATTTGGACTCCATCGTATTCCAATTGTTGGCGATGGAAACTGTTTGTTTAGAGCTATTAGTTTCTCTCTCTATGGTCATCAGGATAGTCATGCATATCTCAGAAATTTGGCTATTGAAACTTTAAGAGCTAATATTGAAGAGTTTTCAGATTATTTTTTATCAGACAGAGGAACCCCTTTAGAGCAACTTCAACGATTAGGTCAACTTGGAACTTATGCAGGACAGGAATGTATATATGCATTGGCAAAAGCTTTAAATCTCAACATTCTGGTTACGTTTGGTGGAGATGATTCCTCCTCTGAAGTCACAACCATGGAAAATACTTTCACTGCTGATCCTACACAAAACCAGATTCATATAATATGGAGTAGATATGGCGGAGGTCATTATGAAGCAGTTGCAGACATGGAAGTTCAGGATCAGGCTTCAGCTCCACCCATGTATCCTGTCACTGGCAATCAGAACAATCTCCACACAAAGCCATGGACAAAAAGTACCCCTTTCTCCAAGCCAGCAGATGTTACACTTTTAGGTAAAGAGAAAAATAGTTTAAGAGGAATGTATTCTATGCAAAAGTCTGCAGCTCCAGGTAAAGGTCATATATCAGAGCTACATAGCTATACCAAGCCAGAACTGCCTGCGCAGCCATTAGCAGAGAAAAAATTTGTGTGTTCGGAATGCAAAGTTTCATTTTTCAATTCTGTCACACTTAAAAAGCACAAGGCTAAACACCATCAGAGAAATCTGAAAAAGCCAGGTAAGGATTTGTATCCATGTATGGCATCAACATGCTTCTTGCAATTTAGAACAAAAGAACAGTTAGTTGAGCATGAAATTCAGGCACATGGGGCAAATATTCTAACAGAAAACCTAATTTTTGAAACTAAGGATGATTTTAATAAATTTAAAGAACAGGAGGAAATATCATTAAACACACGTTATGTGTTAAGGAATAAGGTGCAACAGAACAAAAAGAAGGAAAGAGTGTACTGTCTTGAATGCCATAGAAATGGTTGTACAAGGTCACATAAAAAAAAGGATATCAAGTTAAATCTTCCAAGAAAAACATAAAGGGAAAGTGCCAGTTGAACAGCATTTGTCCAGCAAGGTTTTCTGTACGAGAAAGGGAAGATGGAAAGGTCTATGTAAGGTACATAAAATCCCATACTCATTCTTTGTCCTTTGAACACAGCAAATTTTTGTCCATTCCGGAAAGTATAAAATCAGAAATTTTAGGTATGTTGTCCCTTAAAATACCAATCAACAACATATTAGACAAAATTCGGGAGAAATTTTCTGGCAGGGATAATCGAGACAACCTGGAGGATATCAAATATTACAATTTAATTGATCGGAAAACGATCCACAACTTAAAAAGGAAATTGGCAGATCCATCAATTATACAACATAGCAATGATGCAATTTCTACGTATTTAAAAGTTGAAATGCTCAAAAGAGAAAAATTTAACCCGATTTTAATTTTCAAGCAGCAAGATATTGATAATAACCCATCAGTAACACCAGGACTGAGAAAAGAGGACTTTATGCTTGCTTTCATGACAAAACAGCAGCTGGAAATTTACCAAAAGTTTGCCAATAGAATATTATGCATGGATTCAACACATAAAACAAATAGCTATTCCTTTAAATTGATAACACTTTTGGTTCCTGATCAGTTTAGGAAAGGTTACCCAGTGGCATTTTGCATTTCTAATAGGGAGGATGAAACAGCCATTGCTCTGTTTTTAAATTCTGTGAAGTCAAGGTCACCTGAAACACAGGTCAATATCTTAATGACAGATGATGACAATGCAGGATGGAATGCTGCAAGGTCGACTTTTGGGGACGAATTACAGCATTATTTGTGCACTTGGCATATTTATAGGTCATGGACACGCAATGTTCAACACTACTTTAGAGATGATGAACACAAAAGTATTGCTTTTAGTTTTCTATGTGCTATGTTGGAAGCTAAATCTGAGAGCCAGTTTCTTCAATACAAATCTGCTTTTATTGCCAAACTGCAATCATTAAATCCAACTTTTTTGAAATACATGGAAGATAATTATTTTTGCAGAGCAGAGAAATGGGCAAAGTGTTTCAGGAAAGGTGAATACTGTAAGGTTGATACAAACATGTTCATTGAAAGTTTTCATAACCAACTAAAAACTGTTTATTTTGAGGGTAAAAGAAACAAAAGAATTGATGTCCTATTGGAAACTTTGTTAAAGTTGGAGAATAACTTATTTATCAATTATTTCAAGAGAGTTTCTTATAATCTGCCTTCCAAAGAGGATTCAGATACCCAAAAGAGGCATGAAAGTAGTCTACATATTCACGACAGGGAAATAAAGCAAATTTCTGAAAGTTTCTTCATTGTAGAATCAGGAGAAAGGCAATATATAGTTGAAATTTGGAATAGGTACTGTAATTTAGAGCATTGTTATGTTAAATGCAAGGAAATGCCATGCATTGATTTATGTTATCATTTATATAAATGCAACTGCCCTGACAATGAAAATGGCTTTTTATGCAAACATATTCATAAGGTACATAGCATGTGTACAAGCTACAGAAATGGGGATGAATGTGGGGAATCTAATGAGACACTATTTGTCAACCCACAGCAAGACTCTTCTCAGTCCCAAAATGCCCCCGTTGATCCAGAAACTCAATATAGGCAGATAAAGAAACTTATGCAGCAGATAAATAGTCAGCTGGAAAATCCAAAGGTCAGAGAAATGAGATTTCAAACAATACTTCAGACATTTCAAGCAATAGCTGCTGGTAATGATGCATGTATCAACCTTTCAGAAGACACAGGGAAGCTCAAGGAGACTGAGAAAATTTCAGGCAATGCCAATAATATTATACAGCCTAGATTTCATTCTACAGAAAAGAAAAAAGGAAGACCTAAAAAAGCTCCATTGAGAAAACCAACTGAAGAAGAAAAGGAACGTTTGTTGAATCATCAAGACTTGCCACAGCCACCTTCAGAAGCACCTGTAAACACACCCTTACCATCAGTTGCCCCTTACCCTCCTTTGAGATTGGTGCGCCCTGCCCCTTCCACCTCTACACAGCTACCTACCACACCAGAACAACCATTGTTTGAGTAAGTCTTGGCAATCAATTTTTTTTAGATTTATACACAAATAGAGATGTTTCATTATATAAGTACAAATAAAAGTAATAATAATCACATTATAATCTGAAGATATAAAATATGAATATTCTCATTGTCTTGTTGCAGAGTGAATGGTCAGATGGGACTGCAGCCATGGATGAGAGTGCCACCATCACTGATGGGGAGGAGGATCAAAGTCAAGACAAAGGATGGAAAAACTCAAGTCTTGATATTCACAAAAGGAGTCGCGGATACAGATACAAATAATGATGGTCACTAAGACTCGGATATAGAAACATGAAATGCATTGTGAAAAAATTTTTTTTGTTAATTTATTCTAAGGTTATATTGTTGGAAAAAAGCTTCTAGAAGAGGAATTCTTGATTTATTTGAACATCAAAAACAGTAGGAAAGACCAAGATGTATATACAGTCTAGAATATTGGAGGCTTGTTATCTGATTAGCATTTCCTGTAGTATTTAAATCTATGTTGGATAATTCACTCAAGAACTTTGAAGATGATTCATTTCTATAGCAATGAGGGTGATTGATCCTTTAATATTTTTTCTTATCTTTTCATGTGTACAAGGACGGAGCCACCCGGAAACAGACCTATGTCACTTTGAGCATAATGTCAGTCCAGTAGCAGGTTGGCAATGGCAGATAGGCTTTTGTCTTAGCCAGTGCTCAAGTGTCATTAGGTTTGATTTCCAGCTGAGAATGGGAGCCACTCACCATAGGAATAGAAATCCACAGAGGACCAAAAAGGGACCTGTTTCACTTTGAGCATAAAGTCAGTCCAGTAGTAGATTGGCAATGGTAGATAGGCTTTTGCCTTAGGCCAATGCTCAAGTGTTACTAGGTTTCCTGTTAAACTGACAGTGCCTATGGAAATTTATCTCCATCTCAGGATCAAGTCCTTTGTTCAGGTGACAAGAAGGTCCTTTCATATTATTGCCAATGCATATCAAATTTTCCACATGATATCCTAACTTAAGTAGTTCAGAGAGAACTTAGCTCTAGTTTACATGTTATCAAGTTTTTATTTGTTTTTAGTTCACATTAATTAGCCAAAAGTTGCATTGAGCTTTTCTGATTGAAAAGTGTCTATTGTCGTCAGTTTAAGCTTTTCACATTTTTTCCCTCTTCTCCAGAACAACTGGAAAATATCAACCAAACTTGGCAAAAACAATCCTTGAGTAAAGGGGATTAACTTTGTTCCTAAAGGGTGGCATCTTGGGAACCAAGAATCAAGAAAAAGAGAAAGGGTTGGTCTTAAGGTGTGAATCCTAATGATTATTTACCAGTGGTTGTATATACATATATTAAATGATTGAGAAGGCTGCTCTTCTTTGCGTCATAGGCATTTAGATAAGATAAGCAGACAAACTAAGTAAAAAGTTTTACTGAAATTCATTTATGAAATTCATAGCCTCAGGATCAGGGTTACTCAGGTGATTCTTGGATCTTTTGTCTAATTAGTAGTATGGATGCAAGGTTTAGGATGGGGCTAAAATTGGGTATCAAATGAAATAAAATCTTTTGAGAACATTTTTTTCTCCAGAATAGCAAGTTCATTTTAGTAATATTTGAGTCAAAATTTACCGGTGGTCAAATTGGTAATGAAATATACCCATTATAACTTGATTCAAGTTGAGTTAAATCATATAAGTCCTTGTCCGAGGTGAGAGTATTGGTCCATGGGCCTCCTTCTTGTTAATGTTTGTTGTTGTTTTTATTTTTTGTTGTTTTTTTTTTACACTTTTGGTGCATGCATACCAGTTCTTTATTTGAAAGAATTTTTTATAAAAGAATTTCAACTGTTTCCCAACTGATGAAGCCCGGACAGTTGAAAGTTACTTGTACATGTACATGTATCAATTGATAAACAAATGACACAGAGGATTTAATAGCAAATAGATACATTTTCATATGAATTATATTCAATAAATAACTTAAAAACATTCAAGATTCTCTAAGTTTTTCTATGTGTAGCCTCCTTGCTTATTTCTGTTTTTCATGCTATTTATCCTGCTTCTTAAAATATGAATACAAAAAGATGAAGATAAAATTACTAGATTAATTGTTCTTGTTATCTGTCTAAATATTCTTTTGTATATATGTAAAAATTCATGTGTTATGACCAGAAATACTAGTAGATCATTTTAATACAAAACTTTGTTAATGACCCAGATGAATTTATTGTCCGTAATTTAAGAAGATTGCATATGAATATTAAATAATTTTATGATATATCAAAGGCATACATTGTTATAAACAAATGCAAGATAAATTGAATACATGTGCATAAATGTATGAATGTATCAAATTATATATACTATAAAAAATTAATTTACTTTCAGTTTATATTTCAACAATTATGATGCTAAATTTACATTTATGCAATCAAAGGTGCAATTGATACATTCATACATATAGGGCAGAAACTCACTTGGCAGAATAAGCATAATATTTAAGAGTTTAAATCCTTATTTTTCATTTTTCCTGAAATTCAGCATATAATGTTATTATGATAAAGATATTTATCTTTTTGAAATAAAAAAAATGCTGGCAGTGCCATGTGGGTCTTGGGGAGAGTTTTGAAATGCTGAACATGATATACAAGTATCATTTGCAGGTGATTTTAGAAAAAATCTTAATTTTTCAACTCTGTATTTTAATATCATTTTTTTCATTGATAATAATACATTACTTTTAATATACTGACACAGTCTTCTTTTTATTTGTCTATATTTAAAGTATGTTTTTTTAAACACATATTGCAGAATAAGATGGGACATTCTGAAGAGATTAAATCTACAGGAACTAGTCTCTTAAGATTTCTTGAACATATACCAGGTATATGTTAATCAGTTGTGATTTCAGAAAAAAAAGACACCCAGTTTCCTTTCAAAGCAGTCAAAGAAGATGCAATACCATTAATTTGATTGAAATAAAAGTCTATGATAACATGGTAAACACTCTTTCCTAGATCTTGCACTGGCTCATGGGTCATCACAAGTATAACTAATAATTACCCAGATTATGAGAATATATTGAGTTTTTAAGGTTTATGTAATGTGTTTTTATGCCTTAGTATGTACTTTCCCTCAATAAAAAAAATATATAATCAAACTATGTTATTTTCATTTATTTTTAAGATAAATTTAGTTGATATGCTGCTTATAAAAAATTACAAATATTCATAGCTCAGTGTTCAATATTTAAAATTTGAATATTTCACATAGATTTGTCACATACATGGATCACATAGAAAAATCTGAGACTTTTAAAAAAACATGTAAGTGTGGATATTTCAGCCTGATTTTTTAACCTATTGGCATGTTTAAAATAACTATTGATTAGTAAGTTCACAATTGGTCATGTAGATATTTTAGCATATCCTATTCAAATTTGGTTTAGTCAGTCCATCCTGATTGGTGGGGCCATATGGCCATCTTTTTAAAAAACTGGTTGCCTTCTCCGGACCAACTGCCTAATTATTGTCCCACTCTAATTTTTTTTCTATTCATTCAGAAATTAGATTTTGGGCATTCAAAGGATTAATTTTGAAATTTGCTTGAAAAAAAAGAATTTTCTCACCAAGTTTATACCGACATAATTATATGATTTTTTTCTTTAATTCTGAATCAAGATAGGACAATCAAACTTTTGAAAGTTGGCCAAAGGTTTTTTTTTATTATTATTATTTGACGTTACAAAATCCTTAGAAATTATCTTTTGAACAGTTCGAATAGTGCAACCAAGTTAAAGTATCAAGTGAGATATAGCAAATTAATTGTATGTTCATGATGAAATTTAGGACACTGAAGTTTGGAAATTGCCTGGAATGTTTTTTAAAGGTAAAATAAAGACCGACATAATACTGTGCGTACTTAGTACACCCGTATATAGTGTTTTTTTTAAAATAGTGTTATTTAGTTCTGATCTAAAACTAAGACACTTCCTTTTTTTCTTTTTAAAACATGAATGTTTATATATACACATGCAAGTGACCATACTCACAAATGGCTAAAATAAAATGCCAGTTGTGAAGTATTTGTCAAATACTCTTACAATCAACAATGCCTTTTCAAGGAACTTATAACTGTCAGGGGGGAAACTAAAATGTGATGGCACATTGGGTTTAAGTTTTTAGGAGGTACACTGAAAAAAAAAATAACTGGTGAAAGTCACTGGGAAGATTAGTAAATTTACTGTCCATACAATCACTACCTCAAAAGTAGTTTTACTAGGTATTGGGTAGATTTACTGGATAATGTTAGTAAATCTAAGAATTTATAAGTAACTTTCACTAGGTATCTAAGTATCTTTACGACCATCACTCAACTTTTCACTACCTTAGCTAGGTACACAGAGTGATTACTAATCACGACGAACGCTTTACTAGGCACACTAGTTAAATCAACTAGGTAATTCTCTCAGAGTACGGATTTGGGGTTTGGGCTGTAAGACTTGACCTCCTCTGGCATTTTGAAAACATTTAATTTTTATAGTTGCCTGTTGTTATAATTGTTATCCTCAGATCTCATCCCCCCCCAAAAAAAAATCACATACCCAGCAAAATAGATTTGTTTACACTTTATTAAAAAAGAATTCATTCATTTAATAATATATTATTTATTTGTTTATTTATTTTCAATTAAACATAATGAACATGTCCTTGGACATTTTGGAAGACGAACTTTTCTGGGCCTAAAAATAGTAACCCTCCTGCACTCTCTTAAAATACGGAGTTGATTTATTTAGTATGTATAAGTATTTAATATGTATAAGTATTTAATATGTATAAGTATTTAGTATGTATAAGCCCTAAAATGATAGTTGATTCAGTTATGTATAAGCCCTATATATATATGTACACGATCGTCCTACCCCTAAATCACCACAGACCCTGCAAAATATTTTTTTCCCATTTTATTTTAATATAATTTATATTTCGCTTGTTTAAAGAAAGCATAATAAATTACATATTACCTGTCACTGAATATTGGGAAGTCGTTTTAAGGCCTAACCCCCCTCCCCATTGTCTATCACCCCTTAAAATATAGATTGATCATGTTGATTCATTATGTTTAAACCAAAAATAAAATACCTGATTTTTTTCTTCAGTTATTTCACTGTTTCAAGACATAATAGATAAGAGTGTATGATTTTTTTGTTACCTCTCAGTACCCCCAGTGGAGTTGTGGAGTAAAGCGTTTTTTTTTATTAAATAAATTATTATTTTTATCCATGAACTTGATTAAAAGAGTTACATAAAGAATTTTACAGAAAATATCTTGGAAATAAATGATTTGTTCTTTATTAGCCCCCCCCCCCCCCCCCCCCCCCCCCCCCCCCCCCCCGAGTACACAGTCGTCCCCTTAAGGTGATTGAATCAATTTGTTAAGAATAAGCATATAAATTTGGATCATAAAACACTTTTCGGGAGGGGTGTACAGCATGAATTGTTTACGTTAGAAGAAATAAACGTGTGAATGAACAATTCGGAAATAAAAGAGTTACACCGGAACATTTCTTTAGAGTAAAAATTTGGCGCATGCGCTTTCTTCTTTCCGGAATGAATCTAACCCGTCCCCGAGAAAAATCCCAAAACAAGACTACCAGTGATTACATTGGTTACGATAAATTAATCAACATCCCTGCCATGAAAAAGGAGATACAGCTTTTAAGAATTAGATGAAAACATTTGACATAGTCTTTAAAAGCACAGAAGCTCACAACTTTATCAATAAAGTCAATAGAAATCACTCAATTGACCAAGCCATGTGGCACATCTCTACTTTCGTTTTCGATCATCGCGGGAAATCTGATTTATATAACGAAAGATAGGAACTTGTTTTAGATCTAGATTAAACCATGTCATCAATTGTTTTGTTTAAAAACTGAATGAACATTCAGAATTATTGCTTCTAGGCTATATCAGCAAAGATCACTCTTCAAAAGGCTAAGTAAAGCAGCCAATCCAAGCAAAATGATGAGCATAAAAAATATTTGAATTTGTAAAATTTATGTCAAACTTAAGGTGTTTCTGTCTTCTTCTTTGCTGTTGATATTTAAGATTAATAAGTATAGGTACCTGATTTCATTTAAGGCTTATAATATACATGTATATTACATGAAAGATATCGATAATCCAAGCGTTAAACAACACGCGCGCAATGCTACCGCTTTTGAGGTCCAAATCTCCCTATTTTTCATCACAATAGGTTAACATGTATGAAATATGGCAAATTGTTTAGTCAGCACTTGCTCTTTCGTTCCAGTGAATATGGTTTATTTTATAGAGAGTGTTAATTATACCAAGCCAAAACATTAAAATATATTGTTAGTATGAAAATGCTCATAATAAACAGAATAACACCTCTCCCTATAATAAATCATACATGATATGAAAGGATATGGTACCTTTAATGCATTTTGTTGTTTTGGGATTGTAATGATACTTCTATTGTCAGTTAAGCATTGTCTTTAAATTATACCTAATTTTAAAAGAATGTTGGTGCCCATTACCAATTAGTATTTAGTTTAATTAATATATTGTAGTACACATGTATATTCCAGTTGATGGGGAAATGTTCCAGAATTTTTTAATAGTATTCTTGATATGTTAAATTTATTTTACAAATAAACATTGCTTTTAATTAGAAAAACTTTGTTTTACACAATGAAAATAAACACAATATCTTTACCAATAAAGTCAGGGTATGAAAATGGACCAATTGCTACCATACTTAAGAACTCCTTTAAAAAGAAAAGTGAAGCAAAAATTTCTCTTAAGTTTATGTAATCGCATTTGAAAGAAAGATATGATAGTTATACAAGCTTAGGATACAAATATTTTAGATATAAATTTGAATCATGGACACACTTACATGAAAATGTAAAATGATGATGACAGATCATTTAAGGATTTACCCATTATCATGCTCTTTTCCAATAAAACTGAGTCCATTATTTGAACCACTACCTGCATGCTTCATGCTTTTAAATATAATCAACAAACAAATATTTAAGAAAGAAATAAGAAAAAGAATAAACTAAATATCCTTTCATAAAAAGATTCCTTAGCAGATGATATGGAAAAGTTCATCATGTTTTAGTTAAAAAAATGTTTCCTCTTCTTTTATTGATGCCTAGTAATTATCTTTTTAAAGATTTGCCTACTTTTTGCATTTTGTGTAAGTATCCTTATAAAACACTGCTGGGAACAAAGATTTTAAACAGGGCTTTATGGTCAGCACATACATCAAAAAAGATCTTTGACTTCACAACATCTAACACTATTTTTCCATCTCTCCAAACCAATTATTTAGTTTTAATTGTTTGTGACCTATTTTAATACAGAACTCTAACTTCAAGCCAAGCTAAATCATAGTACATGTACAGTGGACCCTAAAAAACGACTCGCCTAAATTTTGAACATCATATTATGACGAGTATATCAAAATTTTTTTGCCATTTAGCTTGTTTACCTGGAGGCTATAGATATACTGACACTGCTTCACATTTTGGGGGACAAATTGATTATCAATTAAGATCAAACAAGTAAATCTTAATTAATGCACTTATACAAACACCTGTTCCTCGTTAATGGGATGCATGATCCTTCTGATTATGGCTTGAAAAGTGGGAGGGTATATAGTATATCCGTTTTTCCATCTGTTCGACCCTTTCTTCTTTTACAGCAGTAAAAATTACCCGTTATACGCAACTTTTCCTCTCATACCACTGAAGGAAATTTAATGAAACTTTCACAGAATCTTCATTACATATTGCCATTGTGCACCTCTTTTGGATTTTCCAGAGCAAAACATGGTCACTGCCATTATATTCATATGGATGGCACATGTAGTGAGCTCATTGCTCACAGTACCTTTATTGTGATTAAAATGTATATTTCTACTTTAACAGCTGTCTCTTAGTTTGCAATTTATACTTGGTTCAAAATTGTTTATATATATACATATGACACAATATCTTATCTGGGGATAATGTCTAAGGGTTTTGAAAATCAGATTAATTAATATTATGAAACCCTGTTGTTGTTTCAACGAGATTGACATTTAAGTTTATTCTGGGATTTTTTTTAATTATGTGTTACGGTTATCATTGGTTTAAACCATCCTATATAATTCATGCAAAAATTAGTTTATTTACATTCTCTTAAAATTCTAAATAAACATGCATCATAAAACATCAACCATCTAACTAAAAAGAAAATAAACATTTCTACAAATAAGAATTTGATCAGATAATATTCTTACGATTTTTCCTTTTTACAACAAGTTCCAGAAAAATTGCCTTTCCAGCTGCAGTATGGGTCATTGAGACAAGCGTCAATTTTCTTGTACTTGTCACAGATGATGACTTTAAACTGTTTAACCATGGAGACAGTGCTGATATAGACCTCATCATTCTGTGAAACAAAAACAGAACCTCAATTGTTAGTACGTTTAATAATGTCATCGAAACCAACAGAACCTCAATTGTTAGTATGTTAACAATGTATAGTTGATGAATAAATCAGAAGTACAAAGACAATGTGTTCAGGCCCTGACTTAATAGACATAATCTATATCTCCTTAACACCTGTACTTTGTGTCAGTGACTAGATATTTTCATCTTATTTGACGAACTGTTAGAGCAAGAATGTTATGAAACATGTTTCTCAGACAAACAGAGAGAGAGAGAGAGAGAGAGAGAGAGAGAGATAGATGAAAAAGTAATCTCTAAATAAATGAGTCTCTGCTAATGAAATAAATGAGTCTCTGCTGATGAATTAAATGAGTCTTTAATGATGAAATAAATGAGCCTCTGCTGATGAAATAAATGAGTCTCTGCTAATGAAATAAATGAGTCTTTGATGGTGAAATAAATGAGTCTTTGATGATGAAATAAATGAGTCTCTGCTGATGAAATACATGAGTCTTTGATGATGAAATGAATGAGTCTTTAATGATGAAATAAATGAGCCTCTGCTGATGAAATAAATGAGTCTCTGCTAATGACATAAATGAGTCTCTGCTAATGACATAAATATGAAATAAATGAATCTCTGCTATGAAATACATATAAATGAATGAGTCTTTAATGATGAAATACATGAGTCTCTGATGATGAAATAAATGAGTCTCTGCTGATGAAATAAATGAGTGTTTGATGATGAAATAAATGAGTCTCTGATGATGAAATAAATGAGCCTCTGCTGATGAAATAAATGAGTCTCTGCTGATGAAATGAATGAGTCTTTAATGATGAAATAAATGAGTCTCTGCTGATGAAATAAATGAGTGTTTGATGATGAAATAAATGAGTCTCTGATGATGAAATAAATGAGCCTCTGCTGATGAAATAAATGAGTCTCTGCTGATGAAATAAATGAGCCTTTGATGATGAAATAAATGAGTTTGATGATGAAATCTTGATGAAGGAAACAAGTCAGTCCAGTGTAGGAGAGGAAGCCTCAATCATTCTAGTTTCTGCTTTGAGCTAATACTTTTGTATTCAGAATATTTCTTAATCCCTAGTGTCTCTTGACACTAAATTGTTGTATTGCTTACATAGAATTTCATGTCCCAGATGACTTCTGATTTAGGTAATGGTGAGAATACTGTAGATATGGCCTGCTTTTTGCCATTATCCCAGGAATGAATCTTGTACACTTCTCCTGTATCTGAGAAGAAAACACAAATTTTAAACCACTTTAGGCATCAGTAGGAGATCCTTCTTTATTTAAAATAAATTTCTTTAACTTCATCTTTATTTCACTGTTTGGAAAAGTTGATTTTCGAATTATATATAGAAATGTATATCATATACGATAAAATACAGAGCAATAAAGGTTACAGGTGCCTACATTCAAGATCTGATACTACAGGTGATCAATTTTAGCATATTGACTACCTGGTACAGTATTTTTCTGCATGTCATGTTGTTACTATATAAACTTACTTGAGGCAGCGTAGAGAATGAGGGACCCTCCCTGACGACTTCGTTCTTTATCCACTTGAAGGACATGCATCTGGATGCCATCCATAAAGACCAGGGGTTTGTTCCCTTGTTGTTGAACTGGAGCATCCTTAAGAGGATACTCCATCATAAAATTCTCCTCAACATCCTTAAGGCTCTTTGAATCGTTGATACACTGTAAGCAAATATAAATAGGGATTATTTCGCAATTGATGTGAGAGGAGAAAGAAAGAGTTGACTGCTTCAAAAACATACAGTGAGTCCTAAATGTTTCATTAAGCCTGAGTTATTGATACATACAGTGAGAACTAAATGTTTCATTAAGTCTGAGTTATTGATACTGTATAGCAGGTTAAAATCGCGGTCGGAAAAGATAGCGATTTGTTCAATTTTCAGCAAATCGCGGTCGTTTGAATTCGCGGAAAGGAAAAAAACCATACATTTTTTAAATACTACTTGCAAGCATTTTTCTTTAGGTATATATTGTGTGAGCCTTTATTTTCAGTCTCTATCTTACGAAAGTCTGTTCTTGTATATCGCGCATATCAGACAGGAGAGGCAAGTCTATACATTGTGTCAATTTTGAGCCCGATTAAATAATAACGAAACACTGGGCTGATCCCGATTTGAAGTCAAAATAATGTTATGCATTCAGAATATTTTTTATTTCCGAGGCCAAATAAAAAATAAATAGTAGTCAAATTGTTGAAAATTTAATCATATAATTGAAATTAATTAATTGTCTTTATAATTACCCTGTTTACTTCGCAAGTGCCTTGATTAAAGGTAATGACTGAGTGATACACATGGGTGAAATTATACAAGCTTGTTTAATTAAATAATTACATTGCACGTCTACTAGATGGCAAACTACCGTAATTGTTAGGTATAGAAATTAATTTAACAATTAATAAGCTTTACAAAACACCAACAACTACGTGTTTGTATACACTCTCATCTAATCACAGATGATAAAAAAGTTTCAGTTTACCCTTATAAATCTTTTCAAGAATTATTCACTATACGTTGAATTCGCGGAATTTCTTTTTCCGCGAATATAGCGAATATTAACTCCACGAGTTAATTTTCTGCTGTACAGTATATATACAGTGAGACCTAAATGTTTCATTAAGTCTGAGTTATTGATACATACAGTGAGAACTAAATGTTTCATTAAGCCTGAGTTATAGATACATACAGTGAGAACTAAATGTTTCATTAAGCCTGAGTTATTGATACATACAGTGAGAACTAAATGTTTCATTAAGTCTGAGTTATTGATACATACAGTGAGACCTAAATGTTTCATTAAGCCTGAGTTATTGATACATACAGTGAGAACTAAATGTTTCATTATGTCTGAGTTATTGATACTAACCTTCCCTGGCTCACTTTTATCGGGGATTTTACTGGCAGGGAGGGGGGTCCAGATGGAGTTTGTAGTCTCCCGGTACTTATACACCCGGTCAGCAAACCTGTCCTTGACCGAGTCCACCGTAAAGGCACAGATGGCAGAACCAGATGACCCATTCCTGAAACAATACAGAAAATCATATCAGAACCTCACAACACCGACAACCTCTTCATAGTTCACAATCACACTTTCAAAATTCATTCCACTTTAATTTCTGCTGAAAACACCCATAAAAAACATGTGTAGCTATTGTTACTATATATAGACTTATACACATGTAGCAGCATGTTTAGCTGTTATTTTTATCTTCAGACTTAAAACAGCACATGAAGCTGTTGTTACTGTCTATATGCACACATCACTTATATCAATGTCATACTTACACAGAGGAGATAAACAATCCGTAGAATGTATTATTCACCAATTGTACATCCTCTAGATAATAAAAAATTGAATTTCATATTTCTCAAAAAACATTTTTTGGGGGGACATATACAAAAAAAGCAAAGAATAAACTAGATCACCTGTCTGCTCTTCTTTAATCACAAACTTTATGTTTCCTATTACAATCATGCAATACTGGTATTTACATTTAAAATTCACATGCAAAAATAAAATGAAGAATTCTTTTCAGAATCCATCACATACAAAAGCACAAAAGAATGTTTTTTTTTATACTTCTAAATGAATAATCTTTTTCACAAGCAACTTTAAACATGTATGTTATTATGCAAGCAAATGCAAATAATTCTATCAAGGGAGTGTATTTATTGCAATATTAAGGGATAATTGCAGGACAATTACAACATTTGTTATAAACTTACGAATTAAATCAAAATAGAATGGGAATGACCCGGGTAAGGAGCAGTTAAGTCGCGCTTTCTGATACGTCGTCCATTTGTTGACAAGTAAGCTACTTCCACCTAGGTCTTTCTACAACGTAAAAATTATCACAAACATTAAATGTAACTTTTAATTTTTATTTATTTTTATGATTTTTCCGCGTTGTTACGGTTGAATATGTGGCTTACCTTACAAACCCTTGCTACTCTTGAGACCATTTTCTTCATGAAATTTGTGTACTCCAGAGCAATTTCACGGAAGAAAAAGTAAACATCTTCCCCAACATCAAAGGAGGCAACAAACTGGGGCTCTACAACAGTAGAGAAAAAAATTATCTCAAAACAAATTACTTTTTAATACAAACTAATAAAATTTTGCATAGATGGAATTTATTTTCAAGAGGGATAACTCTGCTTGACTTGTAATACATCTAAGAATCAAGCAGATCTGTACGGGTATATTTTTTACCATTTAGCCAGCGGATGGGGTCGGCATTTTCCAATTTTTCGCTCACTTTTTTACCATCTTTAACAAGTTGTGGTCGGGATATGGTGGCCTTCCCATTGTCAAGGATGGTTGCCGAGTAGAGGGCTGGTACATCACCAGGGTTACCGCTGGCTACAGATACAAATCAATAATGTTGTAAATGCAAGCTACACAGTTCTTACGGTCTTAGAGATTCATGTTAAACCTTAATTGAAGCCAAGAAATTAATCACTTTTCAAACAGAAGTTTTATGAAATCAAGTACAATTTCTTACAATATTTTTGTATACCAGTAAACATCTTATATTAAAGCAAGAAATCTGGGTAATACATCAGTGTCAAAACATATATTTTGTGGAGTGAAGACATATACATATTATAAGAGTTTCTGGAGCCACAGTCAGGATTTGTTTACTCTAGATGATGCCTATATACACTGCCAGCGGGTGTTGTATAATTTTACCAGAACTAGGTCACCCATCGTCTGATCTAGTTCTGCAGATTATCAAAAATCAATAGAGAAACCTGATTAACACCATTTCACATTAAAGCTGTTTTTTTTTTTTTTTTAAACTATTTATAACATAATGTGGATAATATTTTGTTTCATGCATTGGATGACAAACCCTTCAATCTACTACCAAGGAACTACTGACTGGATGTGAAGAGTTTGATGAAGCCTAATTACTACCACCTTTATAAACACATCAGCATATATAGTTATGTATATTATACACCTTTTTACTAAATGTTATGAAGACAACAGCAAGTTTTTCACCTAGGGCATAAAAGAACATGAAATCTGCTTCAAAACCTTGGAAGCTGATGCATTGTCTCCTCTTTATTGAGGTGAGCTAAAAACTATTATATGGTAGGTGTTTAGAAAAAAACAGCAGTCATAAATTTTTTTACAGAAAAAATATACAGAGGCAGAATAACTCTTATTGCCTTTGCAAAAAACTTCAAAGTGAAAAGCAACAACAACCTGATTTTGTCTGGAAAAGCACATACATGTGTATCTGGGATCTATTTCAACCTACAGCATTGTTTAAGAGACTCGTTAGACACAAAGCCTACCTTTGTTCATTATATACTTTTTCTGACTGCATTTGTACTTGAAAATGTGCTTTCATGAAACAGAAATTTCTATTGATCATCATAGAAGTACATGTAACTATAATTCCTGATGCCTATTTCTGCTTTAAATGAGTCTGATTCTCTGTACTTACTGACATAAACTGCTGTTGTGTTGTCCTTTGGATCTCTTGGGCATGCAGTGGCTTTTTGAGGAGATGATATCTCTAATTTATCATCATTTATCTGAAATATTAAAGTATTTAAATACTGGAATTTTGTATGAATATAATATCGACAATTTCTAAGGCATAATTATATCTGAGCTGTGCAAATACCTCTTATATATACTCCATATGTTTAAATTTTTGTATAATTAAAAACGTGATTACTGGAAAAATGTAAATTTGAATGTTCATGAAACAAAACAAGTTTTGACTTACCGTTACTTTATATTCTGACGGAGTATTAGCATCTGTTCCACAGAAATACAGCGTGGAGTTATCAACACGTACAATATACTTAATATAATTCTGACAGTACTCCTAAAGTAACAAAAAATATCATTATACAAGACATCCCCAATTCATTATTTAGAATAGATAATTGTGATTGAAATTGAAGGTTTTAGTTTATATATGTAACTGGCTACAAACACTTAATACTTACGACTGATTTCCCATTAAAGGAACACAGCTTCCTATTCTCATCTGAAGCCACAACCTTTTCAGTTTTCTATAACAAAAAAAATGGAAAGAGCTGGCACAATGAAAGCACATGTCTTGTAGTGTCTTTGATTACTTTAACAGTATCTTTATTATAGTACTTTTAATTTGCATTTGTATATTTCTGTTAGGTAGCAGTCCCCAGTTAGTAAGGGATTAAGTTGTTCTGTCATATATTGACATCTATCATCGTCAGTAATTTGTATTTAGTTTTTACGGTAAATTATTTATTGTACTCACCAGTGCACTTTTATCGCTGATATCTTCTAACTTTAATTGTACTAAATAATTCCTGAAACAAGGAGAAAGTTTGATAAGCAACTAGAAGGTGTCAAAAAACTGTGAGATTGGGCATCATTCTTCACTCGCCATCACTAAGTCTTAAGCAAGATATGTGTGCATATACGTACATTGTAAACATAAATATTATCAAATGACAAACTTGAAAGTCATGTACACTTTTTAGAATGTCTAAAAATTTCCATTTTTGAGTAAAACTGTCATTTCAGTAAATAACATGCATTACATGTATGTATTGATTACACAAATGTACAGATAATTATAGGGTGATACAGCTAATAACAGCTATAATGTTGTATACATGTAGACGACCAGATCTGGCCTTAGATCATGTGTTGACTACCGTGTGGTTAGATCACATGCTCATGATAAGGTTTCTATAACTCAATGTAATGATCGATAGCTTCATGTGAGAGTGTTAGTAAGCTAACATATAGGTTCTGGGGAAAAATATTAGCAGAATGATAAATAGAGGATATTTAATGTTTTGTAGTTGGATATGGAAGTAATAATTCATGAGTGGATAAGGACTTTTTGACATTTTCACTAGTGAAAACATAATTTTACCTAGCATTGTCAAAAAATGATGCAGTGGCATCGTCTATGCATAAAGGAAAAAATCCTACCTACACCAATAAATAGTCACCAAATAGTCTATGTTAGAAAATATTTTACCTAGCACCATTGTACAAATAGTCACCTAGTGAAGTTGTCTATGTTATGTTATGTAGAAAATATCTTACCTAGCACCAACAAATGGTGACCCAATGAATTTGTCTTTGTTTATATATAGATAAAATCTTACCTAGCACCAACAAATAGTCACCCAGTGAAGTTGTCTATGATATAGATAAAATCTTACCTAGCACTAACAAATAGTCACCCAGTGAAGTTGTCTATGTTATACTAGTATAGATAAAATCTTACCAAGCACCAACAAATAGTCACCCAGTGAAGTTGTCTATGTTTATATATAGATAAAATCTTACCTAACACCAACAAATAGTCACCCAGTGAAGTTGTCTATGTTTATATATAGGTAAAAGCTTACCTAGCACCAACAAATAGTCACCCAGTGAAGTTGTCTATGTTATATAGATAAAATCTTACCTAGCACCAACAAATAGTCACCAAGTGAAGTTGTCTATCTGGATGTAGATAGAATATTACCTAACACCAACAAATAGTCACCGAGTGAAGTTGTTTATGTTATGTAGATAGAATATTACCTAGCATCAACAAATAGTCACCCAGTGAAGTTGTCTATGTTATATAGATAGAATCCTACCTAGCACCATCAAATAGTCACCCAGTGAAGTTGTTTATGTTATGTAGGTAAAATCTTACTTAGCACCAACAAATAGTCACCCAATGATGTTGTCTATGTTATGTAAATAGAATATTACCTAGCACCAACAAATAGTCAACCAGTGAAGTTGTCTATGTTATATAGATAAAATCTTACCTAGCACCAACAAATAGTCACCCAGTGAAGTTGTCTATTGTTATGTAGATAGAATCTTACCTAGCACCAACAAATAGTCAACCAGTGAAGTTGTCTATTGTTATGTAGATAAAATCTTACTTAACACCAACAAATAGTCACCTAGTGAAGTTGTCTATGTTAACTTATGTAGATAAAATCTTACCTAGCACCAACAAATAGTCAACCAGTGAAGTTGTCTATGTTATGTAAATAAAATCTTACCTAGCACCAACAAATAGTGACCCAGTAGAGTTGTCTATGTTATGTAAATAAAATCTTACCTAGCACCAACAAATAGTGACCCAGTAGAGTTGTCTATGTTATATAGATAAAATCTTACCTAGCACCAACAAATAGTGACCCAGTAGAGTTGTCTATGTTATATAGATAAAATCTTACCTAGCACCAACAAATAGTGACCCAGTAGAGTTGTCTATGTTATATAGATAAAATCTTACCTAGCACCAACAAATAGTGACCCAGTAGAGTTGTCTATGTTATATAGATAAAATCTTACCTAGCACCAACAAATAGTGACCCAGTAGAGTTGTCTATGTTATATAGATAAAATCTTACCTAGCACCAACAAATAGTGACCCAGTAGAGTTGTCTATGTTATATAGATAAAATCTTACCTAGCACCAACAAATAGTGACCCAGTAGAGTTGTCTATGTTATATAGATAAAATCTTACCTAGCACCAACAAATAGTGACCCAGTAGAGTTGTCTATGTTATATAGATAAAATCTTACCTAGCACCAACAAATAGTGACCCAGTAGAGTTGTCTATGTTATATAGATAAAATCTTACCTAGCACCAACAAATAGTGACCCAGTAGAGTTGTCTATGTTATATAGATAAAATCTTACCTAGCACCAACAAATAGTGACCCAGTAGAGTTGTCTATGTTATGTAGATAAAATCTTACCTAGCACCAACAAATAGTGACCCAGTAGAGTTGTCTATGTTATGTAGATAAAATCTTACCTAGCACCAACAAATAGTGACCCAGTAGAGTTGTCTATGTTATGTAGATAGAATCTTACCTAGCACCAACAAATAGTGACCCAGTAGAGTTGTCTATGTTATATAGATAGAATCTTACCTAGCACCAACAAATAGTGACCCAGTAGAGTTGTCTATGTTATATAGATAAAATCTTACCTAGCACCAACAAATAGTGACCCAGTAGAGTTGTCTATGTTATATAGATAAAATCTTACCTAGCACCAACAAATAGTGACCCAGTAGAATTGTCTATGTTATATAGATAAAATCTTACCTAGCACCAACAAATAGTGACCCAGTAGAGTTGTCTATGTTATATAGATAAAATCTTACCTAGCACCAACAAATAGTGACCCAGTAGAGTTGTCTATGTACAAATAACTGTGGTCCCTGATGCTGTTATTTTGGAATGTCTTTGTTACTAAATCTACAATAAATAGTAATCAGCTTCTGTTATCTATAAGGTAGTACTTTAATACATTCTTTATATTTATTTATTCACGAAAAAATTCAATATTTTATTGCCTTTTAAAGATCACAAAGAATCCAGCATTTCTGTAACTAATAAAAATGTTCTTTAATTACAAAGATGTGTTTTCAGTTTGATTAAAGTAACAAATAAAATGGGCCTGGCCCTCATTAAGAAGTTTTTATCCTGTTTATTTAATTTTTTTCCCATCCCAGCAGACTAAATGACCACCCACAGCATCTAACCCAGCATCCAATGGTAAGAATGACTCCATCCTTAAGAATCAGATTATCCCCTCAATTAATGTTATCTCTAGAAATGCTGATCTAATTTACCCCCAGGCTCCTGGGCAGTTTGTGTACCTTTACTAATGTTCTAATCTGATCTGGAGGCACCCCAGAACAATTTACCCCCTCTGTTGTAAGCTAAAATTCTCTTTGATACCTGATATTGTAATAAAATGTAAAATGTCAACACCCTTTTATACCCTTTATACATTTGTGTCTTTTATTCATAATTAGTTAGAATTAATGGAACATAAAATTTAATGTTTTTCAAATCTTAAATTACAGAATAACCTTTAAAGTTGACTGCAATGTGTGAGAAACTCTGTAAAACAAAGTCCTTTTCTTCCTTCAAAGTTTAAATGCTTTCTTCTACAGCTAGTGATTCAGATTCCTTGGAACAGACCCAAAAGCTTTAAAATTATTTTTTTTTCATTGCCTTTTTCTTACGATGACTCCATCTGCTTGGAAATGATAACAGATATATATATATATATATATGTACTTTATTTGAGTTGATCAATTATCTCTCTTTGAGCAAGCTAATCTGGATTAGATGGGTATAAAAATTAATTTTTCCATCTGTTCCGATCCCATTCTATGAATTTATTTACCTAGCAGATTTAATACATTCGACAATCATGCTAAAGTAATTAATAATTCAGTACATGCCCAAGTTGTAGATGTTCTTTTGAGCAAATAAAATGATTTGTCAGTTACACTATAGCAGACTTCCAAGTACCGGTACGTGTATGAGTGTAAATGCTCTCAACAACCAAGGTCAATCAAATGTGGACTTTCAAAGGCAGTAATTCTATACTGCATACAAAGTCAAACTTACTATATAACTGACCTTCTCTGTATCCAACCTTGATCAAATTTTGTTTAATTCTGACCTTGAATTTCCAAGGTTGTGAGCAAGTACCACTGTTTTACTTTTATAGCATTTAGGATCCAGCAAAAAGAGTAAAAGCGTCATAGTTTTTAAGTTGTAACTCTAATAATTCCTGTAGAAACAATATTAAACAAAGTCTAGATAGACCTCCCCAAAACCAATACTGCATAAGCAAAGAATGATCCCTCTAAAACCAGTACTAAACAAAGAATAGCCCAACTAAAACCAATACTAAACTAAGAATACCCAACTAAATCCAATGCTTAACAAAGCATGGTACACCTAAAACAATACTTAGAAAAAATGGTTCAACTAAAACAAATCCTCCCCGCTCCCACACCATGAGGTAAGTTATTGACAAATAAGTTGATGAAACAAGAATATCAGCAGTTTTGCCTAAAGTCATCATTTCGTAAGTTCTTTGGTCAATACAATGACCTTGTCAGCACATACAATTTATCATTATGTAAAATGCTAACTGACTCCCCCCCACCCCCCCAAAAAAACATGACAAAGAGCGGTGTGACTGGTCGGCAGGGTATGCTCACTCCTCCATGGCACCTGATTCCATCTCTGATGTTTTGGAGGTTCGTGTTTGCTCCGCTTCTATTTTGTAATTTTTAATGGAATATTGAGCTTGAATACTTTTTGTTATCTCATGCCCTGTTCACACGGAGAGTTTAATTCGAATTAAACATAAAGTTACTGCGAATTAGCTTCGCTTAGTGTTCACAGGGAGAACTTAATGCAAATTAGTTTAATTCGAATTAATTTACTGCGCATTAAATTACTTCGCATTAGCTCCGAGTGAACGCTAAGCGAAGCTAATTCGAATTAAATTTTGATACATGCGTAAGGCCACAATTAAGTCACAGGACATGTGTTGGTGGTTATATATAGGTATTTGTACTATATTTGGTTCAAAAATTGAGGGAAAGTATGTTTATCACTAAAATCAATGAATACCTATAGCCACTACATGAAGTATCAAAAGATGGCTCTGCATACTTGATGTGTTTTACAAATGACGTCATAATAGACTTAATGACGCCTGACTGTAGAAGAAAAATTTTAATTCGCATTAGTTTACTTCGCATTAGCTGTCGTGTGAACGCAATTTAATTCGCATTAATTTGATTCGCATTAGTTTACTTCGCATCAATTTACTGCGAATCAAACTCGTCATTTTAACAGGGCATCATATTTCATGTTAAAAATCTAGAAGAAGAAAAATTAATTCACCACATAGAATTCTACAAATTGTCAACTTGTGTCTACAGCTACTGTTTTAACTAATCACAGATATCAGCTATTTGCACATTTCAGATGTCTCAAAAATTAACTAAATAAAATATAAATTTAAAAAAATGTTGATACAAAAAAAAAACAAAAAAAAACAATGCACTGTTGCTTAATTTATAATAAGAAATCCATGCACTTGATCTTAAAAAGTAAAATAGGAAGTTTCCATATTTTCACTGTATCTGTTATTTAAAGTAATATATGAGCTGCATGTTTGACATCGAAAAACTTTGATGCAAATTTGTAACTTACTTTTTCATTGACCGAAAAATAGAACATTTGTGAACTTCTGTTCTTCATATTTGCGATGGAAGAACTCTTTATATTAGCTTTGATTGACATTATTGTCATCCGTACAATACCGATTTCTTAAATAATACTACATATTTGATTGAACAGAAATATTTCTTCTTTAACATTTTAAAAATTTATTTTGGTCCTATTGTTGATCATAAGGGTTTAAATTACATACAAATTAACCATAATAACACATTATGCCATCAAGGTAAATTTTTCAAAAATGCAGCTCATATTGCTTTAAAATTATATGTCTACATGAAATCTGGCTGGATGCCTATCTGCATGAGAAAATAAATTCTGTCGGCTTGCAAAATTCCACAATACTATTAGATAAATTTAATCTATGAAATGACAGTACATTCTCCTCCCCAAAAATTGTAAAATTACAGGGAGACCTATTCTGTCCTGATCTTTAAAATATCTTTATTTGAAAATTGTCTTTTAACTGGTACATATTAAGTAAAATGACATTTATCAACTGGACTCCGAAATAATTTCAAAATAATGTTGATATTTTATGATGACTAAATTACAATGTAAAATTCAGACAAATTTTTAACATCAGAATATTTTGACAGGTATGTGGGGCATTGTGGGCATTTCATCAGCAGGAAGAGAATTTAGTACTTTACACTGAAATTAAAACATGTCTTGTTATAAAGCAATTAAGGTACATCATTATCATTAATGGTGCATATTGGGTGAGCTCAGGTCATCAAAATTACAAAGTTGACCACTGGAAAATTGAAAATATCACTAACATGATGCAAATTTTTGTCTAAAATCAAATTAGTGTATATGAATCTAATCAAGAGTGTGATTTAATTTTAACATGACAAAAATTACAATAGTGTCACTAAAAAAATGGCTACCATAAAGTATAAATAAGTACATAGTGGTTTTGTCCATACAGAGAATTATACAACCATGTAACAGGTCAAAACTATATTAATGGGTAACCAGTGCATTAATTATTAACGCTGAAAATTCAAGTGGAAGATGCAGTAACTGTAAACACATAGAATAAAGGAGCCTCAATGAGAGACATTATCACACTGTTCATGTACTTAGTTTGTACTGGATTTTAGACACACAAACAATAATTACGTGGCAAATACATCAATTTGTATTTTCATACCTAAATAATAACTGATTGAAGTGGTCTGTGTGTTTACACCATGTAAACGTCATGCTGCATTAAACCTGATGGAAATTGATTGTTGTATTATCGCTTTTATACATACCTTGACACATACAACATTCTGTCAAATATTTCCAATAACTTTCATCACATTTGCCTGCATAAAACCTAACACTGTCTGAAAGTGGGTAGCATTTTTTTCTATTACAAAAGGTTGAATTGCAAGTAGATATAGACTGTTTACACTTCAGCTTTTCTAAATGTGATAAGGAAAATGCATTATCCCAAGTGTATTTTATAAATAGAACACCTTTTAATATTAGCATCAATACATGTAGAAATTAGATAAAAATCTTTATGTAGATATTAATAGCATAAAAATTGTGAAAGTTCCCTGAATGTGGGTGGGGTGGACCCAACAAATTAAAAACAGGCAACCCCAATTTTCAATGCCTATATAAAGTCTATCTTTGCAAAAAAAAAAAAAAAATCCTGATGCCTATGGATAGATATTTAGAATTTAATGCTAGATTTTTGAATACATATTTTTATGTTTTAAAATGAATAAAATCAAAGGAAATGTACATTTAAAATTTAATGCAAAACAAGAAAGGTAGTTTGATAAAATAGGCAGATAAAAATATCGGCAAGGAAATGATAACTAATATCATTTTGAAAAACAAATACATACCGGTAATGCAAGATCTTTAAAAAAGGGAGAGGAGTGTGTGTGTCGGGGGGAAGAGGGGGTGTCAATTCTCAATTGATTTTAAATACTGATGTATGGTAACCAAAGAACAATTTATCTATATCCATTATTAGACCTATATGCAAATGACCAACAATTTTATTCATTTATAATTTTTATTAAAAATATACCTATAATAATTATTTATTTTTCAGCAAGGGAAGGCCGCTTGATAAGATCCTTTGTAATGCCAACAGATTAATCCTTGAAAGAATCCATTTAAAACATTTCTGCTGATGATGAATACATAAAAACCTATCATATCCCTGACTGTGTTGTTATTTCTGCCAAATATTGCTACAAAACCACGTCAACTTGACTTTAAATTACTGCATATGTCTTTTTAAGTATTCATCAACATTAAATTCTTGGTAACAAAGTCTTTGATTCTTTTGTTATCTCCCAAAATTTACAACAAATAATAATTTTTAGTCATATTTATCCACTGGTTAAGAGACTTAACCCACCTCTGTGGAATGGCTAACTTTAGCCTATTTAACCACTGGATAGCAAAGTTAACCAGTGGAAAAATTTTAAAGAGAATTTAACCAACGGTTAAAAGTTTTGGATAAGCATAACCAACGGTTAACCTTAACCAGTTTGAGCAACCCAATCCAGGTCATCAAAATTACAAAGTCCTAGAAAATTGAAAATCACTACATGATGCAGTTTATTCTAAATCATGCTAGTGTATATGAATCTAATCAAGAGTGATTTAATTTTAACATGAGAAAAATCACCCCAATAGTGCACTACAAGCGATAAAGTATAACTGATTGGTTCTGTCCATACAGAGCATTATACAACCTGTAACAGGTTACTATATTAATGGGTAACCAGTGCATTAATTATTAACGAACCCAATCTAAACATTCCCTATCTACAAGCCTCAATGAGAACATTATCACACTGTTCATGTACTTAGTTTGTGTCTGGAGGCAGGACACAAAAAATATAGTGGTACTGAATTCCATTATACAGCTAACCTGTCTATTGGTCTGTGTGTTATTTGATTGTCACACTGCATTAAACCTGATGGACTTGATTTCTAGACATCATTTGTCTCCCTTGCCACATACAACATTCTAGATATTTAATCTTTACGCTAAATAAAACCTAACAAGTACATAATTAGATTTGAGCTCTTTGAAAATTGAATTGCTGTAAGACTGTTTACACTTCAGCTTTTCTAAATGTGATAAGGAGAACATTGTGCTCTCATTCTCTATACTTGTACTAAGATTGCCAGTCTGTGTATTAGCCATTATATCTTAAAATGAGAAAAATTAGTGTTTTCCCTTGGGCTTGGACCCTGAACCTATGGTATGCCGGCGCAGTGCTCTTCCTATCAAGTTTAAAGGGTAAAACTTTTGTTTTAAAAGAAATGATGCAATGTACATGTATTTACCATCAAACAGAATAGGGCTCTGCAGTATGCTTATATATTCAATAACTTTGACCTTCTGACCTTGGTCTTTGAGCAAAAATCCCTTTCATATGAATAACAAGGAAATTCAAAGAATTTGTGGTCCCCCATTTTCGTTGTACATTGTATTTGCAGGTGAGATGTCATATCATAATGACATATTGTGTCAATGAATGGCATATCATATGTCATTCAAAAGTTATCATCAAAGTTGATTTTTTTTTAAAATGTCAAGGTCAAGGGGTCAAAGGTAATACATGTACCAAAAAAAAATATAAAAGCATTTTTGAAAAGTAGGTCAAAGGTAAAGGTCAAGGGGATCAAACATAAACATCTTAGTGTATTTAGAAAAGTCTTGTCACAGGTAATGTACATGTGAAGTGTATTCCTGTGAAAATACTTTAGTCTGAACTTGACCTTTGAATGAAGAACCTTAATTTAAATATATTAAGTAGTGTAATCATTATTCATCAATTTAAAAGAAATGATATTTTCCACTTTATGAAATATAGCATCAATTCTTTTTCAATCAAATCAGTAATATACTCATCAATAGCCTTGACCCTTTTGCCTTGATCTCTATTCAGGAAAGTCGAATCCCCATGAAGCTTTAGTTTTCCTTAGAAATTGACTTTCATAATATATGTGTGTGATTTTACAGTATCTGAATTATTTGTAGATAGTTCCCTTGTTGTGTGGAATGAATATTATTATTTTGTTTTTACAAAATTCCTCTTTACATGTTGCATGGTAGAGCTAAGTTGCGGTGCTGCTATTCCATTACATCCCTGATAACTCGGTAATGTCTGTGAAGCCTGGAGAACAGTGATCTAACTAATACTGATATGCTCAGGTTTCTTATATTACCAGCTGTCATGATTCTGGACAGTTACAAGCTTTGTTCCCATTCCTACATAGGTACAGACATGACTGTGTAATGAACTATAGTCTGGGAATGCATTCCACCTCTCTGTCTTTGGTTCTTACATCATCATTCATGAATGCAAAGAACATTCTGTCACAAAGATATGAAGTCTCGTACACATTCTCTCTCCAACAGAATCAACAAGAAAAAATTCCTAGTGGTGTATTTAAGTTCAAAATACTTTAAAATACTACATTCATGGACTTTTTTTTAGTATAAATAATTAGTCACCATGTTTACAAAAATAAACATTAAACATGCGGAAACATTTACACTCTACTTTACTTGGATGTACAATCCACCATTTAAAATACATGAAATCATGATGAAAATTTTAAAATCAAGAATGAAATATTAGGGTTTGTTGCTAAGATTGGACACAATCAATTAACTAATTAGTGAGGAGGAACTCCTAATTTTATTGATTATTCCTGTACCCTTGTAGGACACTTTGTCACAAAAGAATGTTTTACTTCCTTCAGAAAATAAATGAGAATCACCTCCACTGTGAATCGATTACGATTGTAAGATGTATTGGTTTGAACAGATTGATATTTAAGCATGCTACAGTCCACTATACATGGTTATAGGCTTGTCTTGTAACTCTAAATCTTATGTACAGCTAGCTCTCATGTCCACACACTTAATACCAGGTAAAAGCAAAACTTACAAGATTTTAAACAATGTTTTCTTAGATTTTGTTGCTAAAATAGACACCAATATTACAACGCTATGTAATAATATCACTGACCATTGCAAACATTAACTTGTGAAAAAAGTCAAACTCAAACATGTTGAAGAATTAATTTAATTTGTAGAATCAGTCATCTCATTATTCCAAAATACTTTGTGTTCTTCAATCTACTCACATAAATTGAACTTGACGAATGGTTTTGATTGGCTAATGGAAGGTCATCTAAGTCTAATGTATTAAGAAACAGAGCAGTACTCCATTCATAAAATCAAACTTGTAAGATATGCGAGAAATGAACACATGGGAAGACAAGAACTTATAACAGTTCAATGACTTATAAGACAAGCTCTACTGTATGACTACCAGACCTAAGAAATTAACCCATGGCCAACAACCATCACCTACTCTTTATCCAGATCAAGTATCAGAGGTAAAAATTCAGCAAAGCATTATACAGCATTCCTCTTACACCAGTGGGTATCATTAACTGTCATGTGTGAAGAAAAAGTTCATTGAAGTATCAGAATTTGCTAGGAAACCTGTATAATGTTTTCCATGTTGTCTCCTACACTTATATGAACTCAGGACCACCTCTCTTGTAAACCCTGTCTGGATACATATGTCCATCATTCATTCCCCTAGCTGTTTTAAGCTAGCTTAAATGTGTACTACAAGGCATCCTCTTCTTTAATTTTTAACTCTAATTGAAAAAGAAACTAAAGATGCAGACAGATTTTCAACAGATAAGCCAAATATCTGGGAAAAAGTATCAGAAAAAATGATATGGACAGCATGAAGTTGTCAAAAACCATCTGTTCTATTGGCAAGCCTGACTAGGGTTGTTGAATTTCTTTGACAGGTCAGGTATGATGACCCGTGAACTTGAAACACAATCAAAACGAAGCATCTGGACTTCTTAACTCTGTGTTCAGACCAAATCTTCATCAGTTGGAATGTCTGTCAGTCTAAATCTAAAAACTTCTACAACTCAGAGAGAGCATCAATAAATGTCTGCCACCAGAGAATCGCCAATCTTAACATGTAAAACATAAAACAGATTTAGAACAGAAATCTGTATGTAATCCCTGCTACACAGTCTTGTTGTATGGCTTCTATCTTTGATGACAATCTCACAATGGGAAACTGGCCTAACCTTGTGAACTCTATCTAAGTTCTCATAAGATTCTCTTCACTGATACCCTAGTAACAAGACAAAAACACCAAGAAATAATCAAAGAATCGTGAGATTTTACTCACTTAATATGAATTCCTACTGATATTTGCAAATAAATCATAACTGCTACAAATTATGAATTTTTGAGCACCCCCGCATTTCACATAGTCGGCAACCATGAATATCAGAGCACTGTGTAGTTACCTCTACAGCATGTTGTTTAGGCATGGATTTCTATGTACCGATATATTACCATAATTACCAAACCAATGACCACTAACAAAATAATGTAGAGAAGTAAAACACCCAAAAAGGGAAGTACACATGAAAAATAGATCCAATCTACAGACTCTTAACTAAGCTTATTTTGGGCAAATGTTTTGTGGCGAGGAACATTTTAAGCCACCCATATATATATATATATTATCTCTGGTTCAGCAAGTTGATAACCACACATATGTATGAAAGAGGGAAATATTTATACCATATAAGTAGAATTTTTTGATCATTTTAGATGAAGTACCAACTACCAAGGTGCAAATTTGACGGACTTAGGATAGTTACACTTCACAATTATAAAAGAGAAGTCTAGGTTAGGACTAGGGTTAAGATAATGTCTATGAAAAATATTTTTTAAAGTTATTAATGTAAGGAAATACACATCCTTCCCTATCCTCCTGGATAAAAAATAGTTACAAATCTTAAAATATCTGTAAAACACACCCTGTGTCTTCCCCACCTCAAACCCTACTAAACAGGAGGTCTCCACTGATTATACCAAGTTACCATAAAATAGTAATGATTTATAAGACCCAGGAGTACACGCGTCACAAACTGTTGTTTACATGTTCCCTCGTTCAGTGAGACATGCATTAATAATGAAATTCTTACCTTTTTCTAAAAATCGATTGGAATACTGAGCCTTCCCCACAGGAAAAATGAATAAAATGGAAAAAATCTTTAAAATAAAATTCATTTCTTGTCTCAATCCTGTTCCAACTTCCATTATTATAACTGGTATTGATACAGTCATCCAGAAATGTTATCTACGTCATCTGTAAAAAAAAGGAAATGTATTCCATGTGTGCTACAATTAATACATTGTTGTAATTATTTTGTATAATTTATTATTTGTAAACACCTACTTCATAAAAAATTACATCAAAATATAAAAAGAGAATGACAATATTGGTATTGCAGAACATTATTATATACTGACAAGAACTGACATTCTGATACTTTATACACTCAGTATTGTGTTTATAAACATTATTCACATAAAAATAAACCTTATTCTCTGACCTATATTTGTTTCAATTTCACTTACTCTACATTTAATTACTCTTTTTGATCAAACAAATTTCCAAGTTCTTTCCCCCAAAACTTACATGGAGACCTACACAACATTTAGTAGACATATCTATGAATAGTACATATACTGGTATACACATTACAAATATACTTCCTAGTTCCGTGATATCACAGATTCTCGCTTACAAACTGTATTACAGCATTATAACCCAGTACTCACCCCCAATCTGCCGAATTAAACTCTTTCTATCTTCATCTTAAAACATTATGCTCAGTAATTCCAGGGAGAAAATTCTGTACCTGACACACATAAGACTGTTTCTAGTTTTCTGATAATTGGGGGTTTTAGCAAGATAATGCTGAAATACACATTGTAAAGTTCAGCAATAAAGAGCTCACATCTCCAATAAATGTTATCCAGATTTCTGTAATTTTAGCATTTCCATTAACAAATCATTCCAAAGAACAAGAGGCCCATGGGCCTTATAGGTCACCTGAGCATAATGCAACAACTTTCCAGTGATTAAATTTAATTCATCATAACAATACACTTAGCAATTGCTTAGTTTGTTTACTTAATACCCATACACAAGGTAGGGGAACAAAAAATGCATTTCAACTAATCAGTTATATTCAGCAAAAATCAGTAGTGCCCCTACCACATATAACCCCTTGAAAAATAGGCCTTGATATTTGATTAATACCAAGGAATTTCAAACCATTCATTCATTTTCAGTATATAAGCACACCCCCCCCCCCCCATAATGGTAACCCTGACCCTGGGGCCTTGAAATTCACAATTCTGGATAGATAATCAATTTACATTTCATAACTATATAGGTAGTTCATCTGCTTAATACCCTAGAGCAGAGAAGAAAATTTTAAAGATTAAATGAATTTTCATATATAATAAAATCCCCGCCCTAACACCAAAACATCTGTGGGGCCATAAAATTCATAATTTTGGTAGAGGCACTCTTGCTCATCATAACTATGCACTTAGTTAGTTTATTTAATACCCAGGAGCAATGAAGAAGATTTTCAAAGAATTCCTGTATTTTTTCTATATAATCATAGAGCCCCCCCCCCCCCTCCTAACACCATTACCCCTGACCCTGGGGCCATAAAATTCACAATTTTTACATTTCCTTAAATGTTCATCATAACTATGCACTTAGTTAGTTTATTTAATACCCAGGAGCAGAGAAGAAGATTTTCAAAGAATTCATGTATCTTCACTATATAATCAATAATTGTTACCATAAAATTACATAAAATTCAAATTTTCGTAACATGTATAAATATAACTAGGCACTTAGTTAGTTTATTTAATACCTAGGAGCATGAAGATTTTCAAAGAATTCATGAATGTATATTCACTATATAATCAATAGAGCCCCCCCCCCCCTAATACCAGAACCCTAATCCTGGGGCCATAAAATTCACAATTTTCGTAGAGGCACTCTTGCTCACCATAACTAGGCACTTAGTTAGTTTATTTAATACCTAGGAGCAGAGAAGAAGATTTTCAAAGAATTCATGAATGTATTTTCACTATATAATCAATGACGACCCCCACAATACCAGAACCCTAATCCTGGGGCCATAAAATTCACAATTATCGTAGAGGCACTCTTGCTCACCATAACTAGGCACTTAGTTAGTTTATTTAATACCCAGGAGCAGAGAAGAAGATTTTCAAAGAATTATATTTTCACTATATAATCAATAGAGCCCCGCCCTAACACCAAAACCCCTGACCCTGGGGCCATAAAATTCACAATTTTGGTAGAGGCACTCTTGCTCATCATAACTATGTACTTAGTTACTTTATTTAATACCTAGGAGCAGAGAAGAAGATTTTCAAAGAAATAATGCATTTTCACTACCTTTTTTAGCCCCGCCCTATTTCCCCTACACCAGGGCCATGAATTTCACAATTTTGGTAAAGGACTCATTGCTGATTACAATTATGCAAACAGTTTGACTGCTTGATGCCCAGGTGTAAAGAAGAAGATTTTTAAAGATTGCATTAATTTTAGTGGTTTTGGCCCCACCCCTCAGGCCTCTGGGGGGCAGGGATCAAGAAATTCACAATTTTTGTTCCCCTTTACCCATAGATGCTTTGTGCCAAATTTGGTTGAAATTGGTTCAGTGGTTGCAGAGAAGAAGCAGAAAATGTTCAAATGTTAACGCACAACGCACAACGCACGACGCACGACGCACGACGACGGACGAAAACAGATAGCAATAGGTCACCTGAGTTTACTCAGGTGACCTAAAAATGGTAATTGTAACAAGATTAACATTTTTAGTCTGGATACAAGTATTGAGGAAGCTTTTAGAGTACATTGCACAATTTATAAATGAACAGATTTAGACTGGGGCACAAAATAGGTAAATGATATGTTCTGTATATATCTCCTGTCACCACTGCAATAATGCACAGTTTTAATATCATTCCTCTGTTCTGATCATTTTATTTGTGCCTTTGAAATGAATACAATAAAAAAAATCAATAGATGATCTCATGAATGCAAAAAGTATAATAAATGGACTGAGAAGAAGGAAGATTTTTTTTTCATATGTCACTGCTCTGTAATATTTATTTTCATGTAATCTTTATTAAGATAACTTCAAATATCCCGAAGTGTCTCCGTAAATCTACGACAGGTGACATTTGACTGAATGGTTTATTTATTTCTCTCGGTAACCACTTGACATCCTGTTAATTTCATTAAATCCTGAGCTGCAGTATTGCACACCATTTACAGGTGAGGCCATTATTTGACTCAGGTGTGATGACTGTCATGTATCAGGTAAGGATTGCTGCCCTTCCCACATCTCTGTGGATTTGCTTATTATGAATCATATTTTAACCTTCTTAAACTTTTGTGGATGATAATTTGTGGTAAAAATTTGATTTTTCAGTTCACTTGAAATCTCCAATAAAGTCATGGTAAAGGAACATCAAAGACAAAAAAAAGTACAATATGAATTTTTGTATTGAGTTCAGAAAAAAATTCTACTTTCAAAGTTGATGTGTTCAAGTTCTTCACCTTCTAAATAATCACCCACAGCATAATCTAACTGATCTTCAACCCAAATGTAAACTGATTTCAAGAAATCATGAGTTCACTTCAAATTGTCTAGCATTATAAAGCTGACAGAAAATCTTGGACAATTTATCCCTCCTCTGACTTTTTATCCCTAGCTGTCAAAGAAAGGAAATTAAAAAACACAATTTCTTGGATGAAGTTCAAATCCAACTACATGTTTGAGAAAAATCATATCAACCCCCAATCCAATGGATATTCTTTCTATCAAGTTTTATATAACATATATACATGCAATATTTTCTTTGACTTCATTTTCAGACCAATGAAATTACCGTTGTGTCATCACAAACATGGTTACATGGTATAAAAGAATAAACATTTAAGAAAAATAGTTCCGGCCATATGAAAACAATGAAAAGCAAACTGTACAATGAGCACTAAGAAGAAAAAGTTAACATAAAGATAGTCAATAGTCAATCTTAGAATAACATACAAGTTCATTTCCTCAGTATCAAAGGATATTGGAATTCCTCATTGACAACATCTATGTTGTTTTTGGAGACCAGGTTTTCCTACAATCTGCTAGAATTCCCATGGGCACTAATTGTGCTCCTTCACTACCAAACCTGCATGTTTTATATTCATATGAAGCAGAGCTAACATGAACCTCTTGAAACATCAGAGGTGGAATCATGTGCCAAGATAAGAAACCATCCCCCTGTTGACAGGTTTGGTAGTGAAGGAGCACAATTAGTGCAAGACTTACATGATGTTATAAAGTTATAACAATATAACAACTTTCCCTCAGTTCAGAGGACAAAGTCACATGCACCACTGATGTCATGGAAATGTCAGCTTTGAAGATTTTCCAATAAGAGATTTAAGTTAGATTTCATCATTTAATACTTATTAAATATTCCAAGGATCAGATTTGCTTTATATAATCAAAAAAGCAATTTGCTTAATTCACAAGATATGAAATCTTAAGTTCTAACTATTAAAATGTGCAGTTGGTAAAGATTAATACAGAATTGATCATATCTCTCAGCTATAAAACTTTTTATTTTTGACCTCTGCATTTCAAGATAATATCTGCAAATGCAGAGGTCTGCATTTTCAAAAAAATTAATTCATTCACAGAAAAATATAATTTCCTTGCTTCAAACAAGTGGAATTGGTATTTTTTTTTTTTTAATTTCAACGAAAACATGCACTTTGTTGTATTTCTGGGTTACTTCCACTTAATTATTCAACAGCTGTACCAAACTGTCTGTGCATTTACAAAATGAAGCCTACTGGACGTGAAATCTTGCTTTTATAGCAGTTACAGCTTGACACAAGAGTCCAGTCCTAAACTCTTCGTGTCCTGGGGATGATGTATTTATTCAGTTTTGACAGTCGGTGGTGTTATTTGACTGCAACAAAAATAATGGCCATCTAAATTTCCTTTTTAAGTGTTTCGTGTCATCTGTCAAAATTTGTAACTAGGTCAGTGTAAACTTGAACCACTTGTGTCTTTACAATCGTCTCTTGAACCGTCTCTTGTTCTGAATGAAATTGAACAATGTTTCACCCTGTCTGAGAGGTTTAGGGTGGGACACAAATTAGAAGGCAGATAATTGGTGATAATTAGCAGACACCAATAGAAATATATACTTGGCAATTTTTCCCATTGTTTTATAATTATTAAAGGCATCTGAAGACTGAAAAGCATTGCAGAGGTAAATTTAAGTTCAATGCCATCAATAGTTCCTCCCAGAAATTTACTCTAGCTATAGAGACTTCCGGCAATCCAATATCTTCCTGTCTTGTGATCTCCCTGACATCCATTGAAAAGTTTGATACAAATCCTAAATCTTTTAATAGATAATGGAGACCATTTGAAAAAGTGATTTAACAAAAAAGGATAAGAGAGTTGTAAAAACAATAAAAGTTATTATTTTAGAGAATATTCTGTCTTTATCTAGAGCTGTGTTCCAATACAGAATCAAAGGATCCTCTAATCTCAATCTCCACAAAGCTTATAGGAAAATAGAATTACTTTAATCAACACAAGATTGACTACAATGTTAATTAGTAATAAGGCCTTCAGTTTATAATATAGTCACACAGCTTACCTCCCCTGAGAACGTCATGGGAAACTTCCAGCTACATCCACAAATCAAGTCTGTATCACATTTAGACAACATACAAAACCACACAACAGGTGTTTCCCTAACCAAAATAATTACAGGGAAATAGATACACCAGAGAAAATTTCAAACAAACTGTCTATTTGATGACAAACCCCCAGACTGAGGGCAGTGGAGTCTGAGGGGGGTGGTGGTCTACCTGTCCTGTTCTGACCTCTGTAAAACCTGCCCACTACCTGTAGATACACACAGCACACAGCTGCAGCCTCCACAACTCTGACTTATCTATCTCTCCACAAATTAATTTGGCTGGATAAAACATCAAACGTTACATAACACACTAACTTTAATGGAAGATCTAACTCCTAGCCCAAATAAAAAAAAACATTGGTGTTTTTTTTATTTGTATTGAAGTAAAAATGTGAAGTTTTAGTTTACAGATGCAACAATCTTAACACAAAATGATATAATAGTATTCTGCAGCATCAAACTTTCTCCATTAGTTTCATATCTATATAATTATGCCTATGTTGCAATGCAAAGTAAAAGGAAAATAAATGCATAAAAAACCTTTAGAAATGGTTGAAACATGAAATAATTACAGTAATCTTTATAATGCAGTTAGACGGCTTTTGGTTTTAACTGGCTTTCTTTTTATGATACTATCAAAATCTATTCACAAATCAAATTACACCAGATTGTTTCCATATTCTCACATAAGCCAAGGCTAAGTTTTGATACAAAATACAATGAGGAAAGTTACTGGGATGCAGCATTTGATTTAACCACTAGAGATGCATAAATTTGATTTGGATTGATGCCCCCTTCCAAAGAAGCATAGCTAGGATGTTAACTTTTTTTTTCTTTTGGGGAGGGGATTGCCTCAATTTCACAGGTGAACTAGAAAGATAATTTCACAAGTTTTCATTTAATGTTTTGAGAATCCAAAGAATACTCAAATGCATTGCTCTATGAGGATCTTGCACTATATGTTGAATATTCTTAATCCTACAAGAGGCAAGATTCTAGATTATTACAAGCCTCAGCTATTATAATGTAACTGTATCATCTTCTGTCAGATATCAGTCAGATAATATTTGACATCCTGGTATCAGCCAGTATTTAAGTCAAGGCTTTCTGGACAATTTTTAGTCAAGTGATGTCGTGTTCTTGGAAACTTCATATCAACTGAGTGAGGCAAACCTGCTTAACACTAACTTGATGTCATAATCATAATATGATTATCACATTATACTTTACAGGTAACATATTATGTATTGCACATGCATCAGTCATATCCAGAAAAACAGCAGGAATGAAGCTGGTCAGTACACTTGCAGAATATCCATAAAATGGATGTCTTTATCCTATGCACTCTAAGACTAATTGTGTTTATAAAAGTATGTTTCTATTTGTTTAAATTCTTGACATGTCTTGTAAAACAGCTTGATTGATTATTTCATTGCAGCTAGTCCTAGTATTCACTACCTTATTCTAATTTTTTAAGTTTCTTGGGCACTAATAAGAATGACTATGGTAACTTACAGAATAAAGAGCAAGAGCCTCTTAGGTCCTCTTTTGGCCCTGAGAATTTCTGAAAAATCAAAACTGCTCTGTTTAGGCTGAAAATGCGCTATTTATCACTTTATATTGTGATGTCATAAACTGTGTCATTATTCCGATGTCCTGTGAATTCCCTTGAAAATGGCCTAAAATTGAGGTATTTTATCAATATTTCATATAGAGCACAACCCCTGATCCAAAATATGCAAAGACATATTATAAAAGATCTGTTTCTGAAGATCAAAAAACATATTTTACTAGTAATTTTTGGATTGTGGGTTTTCTGCAAAATTCAAGAATATTGCATTTTCTCAAAGCCTGTTTTCCAATACCTGAATTCTCAAAAAGAAATTTTGTTATAGGAATGAAAGCACTAAGTCTCTTCTTTATTTTGATATACCTGGTATGAAATGGGAAAGATGATGATAGTCAAATAATTGATATAAAGACAGGGCCATTTTATGCATAATGTGAACCTAGCTCTTTAATATATTGGGAAAATGACACATTTTATGACATCATAATGCATTGACTGAAGGGAAAATTACATCAATTCATGTTCAATAGATACAAGGTCATTAACAGTCCACATGATAAATACTGCATTTTCAACCTAACTGCTAAACTGAGCAGTTTCAATTTTTCAGAAATTCACAGGGCAAAAAAGGGCCCTAAGTGGCTCTTGCTCTTTAAAGCCGATCAAGTCTCACTTTCTAATAAAAATACTGGATTTAACTAATTTTTTGATCTGTAAAAAGGAATAAATTTGTAAACTCATATTTATGTTGATTGTTGATTGTGCTGGATTCAAATTTTCTTGATTCTTAATTAACTAACAGTTAAATTGCTCATTCAGACAGGTTTTTAGATAAGGCAACATGTTTGATTTCCAATCTGACTCTGCATAGCTTTGTCTGGATATGTTATGGGTCTTTTTCTCCCTGTAGGTAGATTAATGTGTTGTTTAGATGGACAAACCTCCGGTCAATGTTCTGGGTAAGGAATCGTTTACTTTTTAATGACTGTAATTAATAAATATTTGTCATGTCTGTGTATCTGGTTACCCCTCTACACCAATAATACGGCACCACACCCTGAATAAACCTTGGTAGATGATCAATTTTTCTCATCCATCAATGTACGTCTTCATGTTACCCCTACACAAAAACTATTCGACTCCACTACCCTGAATACATGAGAGTACCGGTAGATGGTTACCTCTGGTCCATCAATGTACGTCTTCATGTTACCCGAACACAAACTATTCGACTCCACTACCCCGAATACATGAGAGTAGATGGTTACCCCTACACACAGGGGTTACCTCTGATCCATCTTCATGTTACCCCTCAACACCAACAATACAGCACCAAACCCTGAATACAGGACAGTAAATGGTCACCTCTTATGACTTATCAATCAATCATGATCAATGACATGTACGTCTTTCTGCCTTATTTAACACCCCACTAATCGTTACTGATGTAGTACAGGGGTGTCTGGGACACCTGTACCAAATACATCTTTTAGTTGTCAATATCATTTTACCTTGTCAGAGGTGGGTGTTTTTTTTTACATTCACTTCATTACTAAAACATGTACCCACAATAACATGTTCTTCCTTTCCTGCTATGATTACAATAATGAAACAATGCCTACTCAAGTTTTTTAAGTCTGCATTTTAGCCAAATCAGAAATCAATATGTATAAAGTACATGTATATTCTAACTTTCCTGAACAGCAAATTGATTTCTGTTAAATCAGTAATGAGACAGATCAAATGCTGCCCTACTCTGCTCACTGTGTTCACGTGTTTCTGATCATCCCCTTTTTCTAACAACCCACATACAGATTAATGCACATAAACTCTCAGCAAGTCATCATAACATGAATTTGAAAAATCAATCACAAGCATCTCCCATTGTTCATCACTTGATCATACTTCTTATTCTGCACTTATTACTGTGAAGAGCTCAACTGTCATATTATTTTTAAAAATGTGTTTGTTCATAATGTACATTGTGGGAAATAAGGAAAATCCAAATCAAGTACTTATAAACATATCAAATGTGAAATCATAAAATTAAAAGGAAAGGAACTCAGTTCAAACCGTCAAAATAAAGAGTGTGGCACGATGCCATGTAAATAAATTTTATTTATGCTTAACGAGGAAGGAAAACTGATTTACCGGTATATATGCATAAATTGTAGAAATAAAAGTGTGAGCACTGAAATCCACGCTCCCAGAATAATTATCCATGGAGTCCCCCTTTAAAAATTTATCAATAGTAGAAATTGCTTAATATGTCTGTCTCAAAAGTATGAATACATGCATATCGTGCATCTCTTATTATGAACACAATAAAAGTATTTCTTTACCGTAGAACTTAAGAAAAAGAATCTTTATAATGAATTGATCAGGCAAATAGTACTTCATTGTCCAATGTAAATGTTATTGTCAAAGCATTTTAAATGATAAGGGCATCCCATTGTTCCTGCACTATGTAAAATAACTAAAATTTCACAGAAAATACATTAGTTAACGTTATTGCCTGACATTGATAACACACCTGATGTATTTTTATCCAGACATCTCAGGTTTATATAGTTCAACCTAGTGTATAAAGCATCAACTGTACAGTACATGGGCTCTATTAACATATGATTAAAATAGAATTAAAATCCTACACTGCAGTTTGAAAATGATTCTAAAAATTCTACCTTCCCCTCTAAACAAATGACTGAATGAGACTATTAACTGGGTATTAAAACTTTTTTATCCAATGATCAAAGATCCCCCCTCCCCCATTTCTCTCTCTCTCTCTTTCTCTAAACATACACATGTCACTTATACCATTATACATCCCTGTACACGTAATCAAACACAAGACTAGGTCCTTACCTTTATAGCGGTAATGATAAGACTTTTCCCAGACAGACAATAATCCTTCAGACACTACACTGTTTGACGTTTACAGCTGAGCAGAGGAATAATCCAGGATGTATGTGTAACAGCCAACCATGCGTATCGACACACACACAGGAAGTTTACTACGTCACACACGCCTTCACATCCCCAGAGCAATCATAACCATCAAGAGAGTCAACTAAAAAAATAATCATACATTAATGCCGATATTGTTAACATGGTTAAGCATAGGAATAATTTGGCAAGGCATGATAAGGTATGATACAATATGTATGATTATTAATGACAATGTACATCCAACTACCAAAAGAAATTAAAATTTCAAGCATTTGTTTTTTGTTTCTCAAATATCAATAGAAATTAAAATGAAAACTGAAATCAATTAAATTCTCATTTCCAAAGAGTTTTCAATTAAATCAAGTTATCCTGTATACATTTATATTTATCAAATATTGACCCCCAATGTACCTCTTACAAATGAAATAAATTTGAAGCTATTGTAAATGTGCCAAGTCTTAATTTTGTTTTCTATCACTTTTTGTAATTATGTTTATATCCTCTGTATGTTATATAAATGCCTGGAGTGTTTACTGCATTCTTATCATGCCTGAACTAAACAAAAACACCCATACAACTGGGAGGAATTAATTCATTTTACCAAAAACCACTCTATGCTATTACAGTTAACAGCATTAAATTAGATTACCAGTAAAAAGTCAGGTCTTCTTGTGTAAAAGCATTGAACATTCAGAAAAAAAGCTGATCATTAGATAATACAATCAGAGCCATATTTAAAAAAAAAAAGAATGATGGATCTAAAATGGGTTATAGACTTTATATTAAATATATGGTTTCATCAATTTAGTTCAAACCCCTGGTCTATGATAATCCCTAGGAACATATGCCAGGAAAAAGTTGCCCTGTTAATTGAAGGCAGGGCTAGGTGCAACTAAACCCCCTCAACATACTCAATCAAATTAAAGTAGTGGTCCAGTTACTTTTAAATGAAGCAGAAAATTATTTCAATTCACTAATTTAAAAGCATTTCAGGTTTTAAAAGGCCACAGAGATAAAGATACATGTGTATTAGATTTTTCTGGTTCAATATATCATTTGTCCAATGCATGGGGAACTCTTCTTCATTCAGATAAAAATCATTTTTAATTACATTTTCTCAATAAATAGCATAAAATTGTCTCACATTTTCATGTTTTAAGCTCAACTTCAGTAATATTCGATTGGGAGCAATAGTAGTTGAAGAGTTCTGATGCTTGAGGAACTTGATCACCCTACAGGCTACATGTACAATCTTATTTCAAAGACACCTGTCTATAATTCTTGCAGTAAAAATCTTTGTTTTTCCTGTTGTAAGATGTAGGTTATATACCATTTCCAAAATGCCTGATTCCAGAATCGTATTATCTTAAGTGCTCATACCGTTTTCAAAGCTATACAATTAATGATGAAATCATGCAGCTGATTATCGAATGTGGGTGTTTTTATATTGATGATGGTTCGTAATCCCAGACACCATATCCCAGTATCAAATATACATATACATGTATTTTTGTCAATGTTTTGTCAATATAACCATACCAGCATTGCATTTTTTGTGAACTCTGACCTATATATGTGTGCCCTGGTAGTCTTTATGGCAGAAGGCACTGACCTATGAAATCAATTAAGATGAGGCAGGAGGAAGGAATTTCATAAATAGATTGTGACTGTTTTATTATATTTTCTGTAAAGTATCCATTAGTGATAAAACAAGAGTTGCTTACAATCAATTGAAAAACATAAAAAACTTATCCAAAGTGATGATCAATTTTTTTAAAACATAATTTTGGTAGTTGCTACAGAAAGAGCTAGGTTCACTTTCTACATAAAATGGCCCTGTAGATATACATAAACATGTATTCTGACTAACGCCTTTTTAATTATCCCATTTTCAAGAGCAATATAAATCAAAGGCTTTGTGCTTCCATTTCCTATAAAAAAGTGTCCATGTGTTGGAATATGGACTGTGTAAAACTGCAGTGTTCTTGAACTTTGCAAAAATATGGTGTATTTGAGTACCTTCAACTAAGAATTTAAAAATATGGTGTATTTGGGTACCTTCAACTAAGAACTTAAAAATGAGCACATCCCTTTCTCCAAAGAATAAAAATGTTTTACAATCTTAATTCATTACTGGATCAGGGGATGTGTTGTATACAAAATAATGAAAATTTAAAACCTCTTTTTTTAAAATTTGGCAGTTTTTGATGTGCTGATTAAAATTAATCAAAATAATGAAAATTTAAATTCATGATCATCTTTTTCAATTTTTGCCAACTGCAAAATCTTGGCTTACAGGTTGTATGTGTTTCTTTTTTCACTGCCAAACTTACATGCCCAAGAAATTTCTTAGTAAACAATATACAGTCTAGTCGAACCCTCAAACGGGGGTATACCTGTTATGCAATGCTGGAATATATCTCAAAAAATATTTTTTTTAAAATCACAAACATAAAAAAATGGATTGTCTACACCTGTGTTTTCAATTAAAAATATATATTAAAAAAATTTTGTTTTTATTTACCTCATTTCTGAAGCACAAAAGTTTGTTTACAGGACTTTCAAAAATAATAAATAACATGTTAATTACACAAAATTAGCCGGGGAAGGGAATTATATGCAAAAACAAACCATTGTTTGTTTATTCATCCGTTTTATTAAATTATGTATAAAAAAAGCTAGTTGTATCAAGCATGGAGGTGTGTTTCTTTTTTGCAATAAACATATACTTTTTCGCAATACAATCTCTTTACATCTTTACATCAAATTTGCCATACAAGAAATTTCACTTTGCACGAGCATATTTTGTGGACCACATATATGTGAAAAAGGCATTTTTTGGCATAGGTTTTCCATGTGAGGGTGTATGATATATGCATGGCAAAGGTCATGTGATGTATGAATGTGATGTGCAAGATATCTTGTATAGTCTCTGCATTTTTGTTTGAGATATTCAGCTAAAAATGTCCGATTGGCAGACTATACATTCAATTTATACCAAAAATACTTAAATTTAACATTAAGACAGACTACTGAGCATCAATAATGTTCAGACTTTGTTATGGAACTAATCTTAAAATCATATACAGAAGATTCAATCTGATTAGCCAAAACTTTTTTGCATTTATTTGTAATTGAAAGGTCCTTCTGAGTCTGACATGACCCAGAATGGGATGTTGTTAGATGTTTGAGAAGCTGATTAGCAGTAGCAGATTCAGAACATCCCTTTCAAACCAGTGTGGCATTTAAGGGCGAAACGATTACACGTGTAAACGGCGACGTTTCGATTATATGCTCTAAACGTTTACAGTTTGAGTAAACGTTTACACGAAGGTCATTATCAATGTCTATCAGAAATAAAGTTTAACACAAACAAATTGTTTTATTATATAACTTACAAAAGAAACACCGTCTTTGACCAATCTAAACCGGAAACATATTGAATGAAAATATCTAAAACCCGATACGGGCTAACATAATTAATTCCGATTTCCGAGTTGCTATTGCTAATACTAGCGATGTTTTACGACACTTGAAATATAAAACTTGATATGTTTTGATTAAATAAATATAATACATTTTTCACAAGTCTTTGAAAAGTTTCAATACAGTTAGCAGGTCTTGTTCTACTTTTTTCGAGATTAAAAGATCCATCTTTACAATTATTTTTTCTACGTCCGGTAACCAAACAAACGAGGTCGTAAGTGAATGAATTTAATGCGCCTCAAATTCTTACGGTTAAATCACAATGACCAACAATAAATTTGTAATAACAACTCATACTTATATTAAAGTGAAAGAATTGATTATTAAATTCGAGTTTCATGAGTAAGTAGCCATAAAAATTCAACATAGAATATCTCCCGTTTAAACGGTACCGTTTCGTTTACTGCTATCCGTCTAAACGTTTACAAAATTCAGTAAACGTTTCACCCTTAGTGGCATTTCAATATTATAACAGATCTCCAGGAG